TATATTATCAGACATATAAAGGTTTTTATGTCTTATTTTTTTTTAACATTAATTAACTTTCAAAAAGTAATACCGAGTTCAATGCGATAATATCGTGTTGAATTGTAATAAGTTATATTCTTCATTTCTGAATTTTCACCCTTAGGGGTATAAATTTTTCTTTATATTTGAATAAGATGTAAGGGGTTCCCCGTTTTATTTCAAATCAACCAGAATTTTTCAAATCGTTTTATATATGACGGAGTTTTGTGTTAACAAACATAAAAAACAGCGGCATTGAGGATTGAATTGAAATCGATAAAAAAGGACTATTTGTATCGTGGTGACCAAACGCTTCTGAATTTGAGGACAAGCCGAGAAAATGTTCTATAAGACGCCATTGTTAGATAAATGGAATCTGTTTGTAATCTTTTTTCAACAATAGCGAAAAGCTTTACCTTTTAGAAGTAATATTTACTTTACAATCGAGTACCTAACTATTTACCTTTTTACTTTATTTTTAAACTCAATGTTACCCGCGCTTCCAGTGATTATTACTTTTTTCGTGTTTCTAAGTTTGAAAATGACAAACTTCCATACAACCGTTCATCCAAAATTTTACCCCTTTAGGAGGTAAATTTCCAAAAATCCTTTCAGGACCTTTAAAAATTTCAAGTTTGTAGCTTTAACGGCTTTTAAAGTTTAAATGTATAGATTATCTCTTATATTTTAAGAATAGTTTCATCGAAATAAATTTAGCAAGCTTGATTGGTGAATTGGTTTGTTCGAGCGTGTTTTGCGTAGGTGCAGTGCTCTGTACGTACCCGCTGATGTCTATCAGAAGGGTCGCGGGGAGCATGTCGTCGACCCACCGACATTGAGAACGCAAGGTGCCTTATACACTGATAAAACTCGTCGAGCGAGCGAACCCACGATTTCGATTTCGAAAAATACAATCACTTGGAACGATAAACAGGTATTTTATATTAACTCTTTTGGAACTTAATTATTTCAAATGCTTTACAAAGCTTCTTCCTAGGTTATAAACGACCCCCCTGTTTAAACACGACGTTATTTAAGTTGGTTTGATTTCAATGACACCATTTGAGATGACACCATCTCAAATGGTGTCACTAGTTACAACAAAAGACAGAGACAGTACAATTTCGAAAGCTTTAAACACATTAAAGAAAATTACTAACGCTGGTACATTTTTGTCTACATATTATGTTATGCTGGGAATCCCTTCTGTTCTGGCTTAGTTTGGACCCATCTGCTCGGTGACGGATTAAGAATACGGAGTGTCAGCATCCCTATTTATCCCGTGGGTGTCGTAAGAGCCGACTAAGGGAGCTAACTACGCAGGACAACAGCACTGTAAAGAGAAAGATAACTTGACACAAACCTTAGGTATACCAATCCGTCTGGCCAGCGTGGCATAGTGGGCCAAAACCTCCTTTCTAAGGAGAGGCCTATGTCCAGCTGTGGATTGTTAAAGGCTGTTGATGCTGATGATTTTTTTTTTATTTATTTTATAAAGACAACTCCCGCATTAGGAATACATCCTGTGTCGCGGGGACTTTACAAACATACATGAAACGGACACAAAGAACACCCAGACTCAGAACAACAATTTATGGATCACACAGTGTCGTCCCATGTGGGGATCGGACCCACAACACTCGGCGTAGTAGTAAGCGGCGTGCCGACCGCTTAAACCACTACGCCATCCGTGCAGTCAATACAGTAATCTTTATTACACCTCGTTCAAGAAGTTGATAGAACTAATAGCTGACCCGTGCAACTATATCTCGCAACTCTCGATCTCACAACGGTCAAGAAAGGTTTTGTCGTATATCTAACATTGACTGCAATTACATCGTATTGAAGCCCAAAGTTGAACTAGTCTTTACTATTTTACTACGGAAATACCTTTTATGAAATCGAGAGTCAATAGGAACTGAATTTAAACCGAATTTTTATTGCGAGAATTATCCTTCTGGTATCTCGGGATTGTTTCCACGCGCCTGCTTACATGCGCGGGCGCACTAATTGCCATCATACCAAGTACAATAATGTATATGTTGTTATGTAGCGATACTTACCCATTGTATCGTGAAACACGCGATCACCTTTTTCATTGGTGCATCAGAGCGCATGACGGCTGGAAAAAAACTTGGAATGAGGTTAGCTCGAACGGTATTATGAAAAAAAGCTGCGGATCTAGGGACCAAATAATAGCAGTAATTTTTTTTTTAGTTTTGTAATTCTTTATTTAATTATCTACGGGTTGAAATTAAATTATGAAAATGTATTATCAGGTTACTGTTTTCCAGGTTACAATATTTTTTTCAAACAGAATGCTTTTCCCAGTAAAATAATAATAATAAAAATCATTTATTCCCTCAAAAAGTTTGTACAACTTACAGTAATGTTAAACATTTGCTACTCGTTAATTTAGGACAAATTTGTGTTTATACCCTGAAATCCAAGCTAGGTGGGGATCTATATTTTAGAGATCAGTGTATTGCTGTGAAAAAAAACTTAAAAAGTAGTTCGATGCTCACTTTACACATCACATCAACAGCCTATAATAGTCCACTGCTGGACATAGGCCATTCTTTAGAAATGGGTTTTGTTTTTGTTTTTTATGAACTTCTTCAACAAAAATAGGTATCACAATGTCTGACTATGTCTAGTACAGGATGTTTATGGCTAAGTATGCATGTGAGGGTGTGCATGTATGTGAAGAAGCGTGTGCATGTATGCGATATAGTAAATGTTTTCTGCCAAGAGATCGAATTCGACTAATCTTAGTTATATTATTGATTACAATAAATCTTTGTCATAGTAAGAGGGTGATACTACGATACGATTGTTGAAAATACAAAGTAATCTATACTAATATTATAAAGCTGAAGAGTTTGTTTGTTTGTTTGTTTGTTGTTGTTCCTGAGATTAGCGCAATCTCAGGAACTACTGGTCCGATTTGAAAAATTCTTTCAATGTTAGATAGCCCATTTATCGAGGAAGGCTATAGGCTATATATACCAATAGGAGCGGAGCACCAATGAAGAATGTTTCAAAAACTGAGAAAATTTATTACTATTGAGAGACGCAGACGAAGTTGCGCGGGTCAGCTAGTAAACAATATCGACACAAAGAAAAGATACTGAACTGTTTTTTTAAGTATCATATTTTTTAGGCAGTGATAGCCTTGAAGCAAAGTTGCATTTTAGAAAAAAAAATACACCAAATTTAAATAAAATTATATTTACAAAAGGCTTAAAATATGGTTTAAAAAAACTTTTTATAATCGACAGCAGTTTGGAAACCAAACTTAATTATTACCTACGCTATTCAGTGATTGCAGCAATGTGTACAGTATGATACTATCAAACTTCACCCTACAATTTTTTAAGAAGAAAAAAAGAGAAGAGTCCTAGGTCTCTCCCGTTCTGCAGACGCGGCGACCGCACATTATTTAAACTCATTTTCAGTCCATCGAGTATAATGTAGGCCTTTCGAGATATGGGTGCATCGATCTATATAACATTAATTTAATTGAGAGACAGACAGAGATTTTCGAGCTAATGATGATCAAAAAAACAGGATTCGACTTCGAGCATGCGATCAGGCGATCAGCGATCAGACTTTTTTAAATATTATCGGGCTCTCAACCTGAGTCAATTAGGTAATAGCTTCTCATATTATAGACCAAACGAGCTTATTGGTGTGGTGGTCAGCGATCCTGACTGCTAGACCAGAGGTTAGATTCATATATTGTGTGATTCATGGGCACGATCATTTGTTCTGTGTGGGTGTAATAATAATAATAATTTCGGACGTCCAACACACAACGCCATCTAGTTTCAAACTATAAAAACTTGCAGCGGCAGAGCTTGTACTATAAAAACTTGATTGACTGATAGATACTATAAACTTATATACTTTGTTCGTAAATACATACATATTACGAATATACATAGAAAACCTTCAAACTCTCAAACAAATATTTTCAGATCATACAAACTTTTGGTACGACCCGGGAATACAACCCAGCACAGCAGTCGCATACGCTACCACTGCACCACTGAGGCAGACAATTTATGTTTAGGTATAATTATAACTATGTTTACTTAGAATGACGGTAATAGGGTTTAACAACAATAAACAAACAAATGTCCACAATATTCCTAATAACAGCAGGCAGCAGGTTTCTCAACATAAATAAAAAAGTACATTGTGTGGTATAATTTTATTTATCTTTTCTATTTTTTATTTTATGAATATTAACGAACTTATAACAATAGTATAAATATCGTGCCATCTATTGCAGTTTTTTTGAAAACATAAAACTTGTAATATTTTTTTCATTACTTGTTTATGTATATTTTATATTCAGGTAGGTTATCCGATTTCAAAGCAAGTACTAATATACATATAATAATATAATTTTACAAAGATCTCCTTCTAAACTCTAATAACTTGGGTTTTAACACGGCACGTATAAACTTCATTTTGACTTTGACATATAATTCAGTATTGCCATTATTCAGATTTGTGCAGGAATAATGCATGCATGCATAATTGTTTACATTATTCCTGGATAAATTATTTTACTTTATAAACCTATCTGTTGAAGTCATCATTTTTTTAAAGAAGAATATATGTAGGTACTTTAGAAACGTTTGAGTAATCCTAGTCATTAGTGCTAACGGTCTTGAAATCATTAATTTCTTTTTTTGAAAAGTATGTGTGAATTAATAATTATGTTCGAAACGAGTATAATAATATTTGGGTGTTGGTCGGTATATAACCTAAATGTTTTTGCAATTATTCTGTCTTCGTTTGAAATCTGACATTTCAAAAATAAAATTGGAGTTACGTGTCGTATTCTGGCAACAATAATCTAATCACTTATTTTCGTTTTACTTTGTCGTCGTGTAAATAAGTAAATTTTTCGTAAATTATGCACTTCTGAAGTATTAGTTAAGCTGTGAATATCTGAAAAGAAAACCATGTGCAATAAAAGTGCAATATCTCTAGTAATATTATGCCTGAGGTAGACTTTTAGAACACAATATGTTGTGAAATAAATTTTTACACTTTTAAATAGTTGGAAATTACCAAATATACCTTGATTTCAGTTTGGATTTCGCCTATACGGTGCATATCAAACACTTAAGGTCCCATGATTTTTCTGCTAGCACCGATTGGGACTATTTGATTTTTACACAGCATTGGCCTACAACTGTATGCAAAGACTGGACGCACAAAAAACCAAATCACAGCTGCTCTTATCCTAAAAAACACAATGCGTGGACTATCCATGGAATTTGGCCTACGAAGATAGGTACGAGAGGCCCTGAAAATTGTAATAGCACATGGCTGTTTGATCCGGAACAAGTTAAACCAATTGAAACCGACTTGGAAGAAACTTGGATTAATATTGAAAAAGGTGAATATACATTAACCTTAGTTTACACTTCAGTTACATTCAACTTTATAGATTGGTAGTTAATTTTGAACACATTTATGATTATCACATGATGGACCTGGCATCCGCACAGCAAATTCAATGAATGCTAAGAAATAGGTCTTTTATCGGTATTTTTTAATCAAATAAGTGAGAAATGAGTTGGTCAAAAAATTCCCAAACTATTATTAATGTTATATTAAGTTCTCTCTCAAAAATGTACTGAATCTAAGATACAAAATTCTATTTCTGTTGAATCAGAAAGGGAATAAAAGTTATTACCAATTTTTTTTTTGTTAATATGATTTGTGTTCATGTTATATGAGTATTGTTATAAAATTTTTGTAAACCACCTTGCAAGATTCTTGTATGTTTTTGTTATATTTTGATTTTGGAATAATGAATGATAATGTTTAATTTATACTCACTTAAGAGTCAAACTAGTATCTGATTATTATTATTAAGTGAATAACACAGACCAGTAAGATACATATAAAAAGTTATGTGAGACCCCATCCTGTTTGCTATAGCTATGAGGAAACCTTTAGTGATGAGGAACAGGTTGTTCACCACATCTTTGTTTAGATATTAATACATCTCGTGATTAGTTGTTCAAAATATTTGCATGTTTGTCCTCTATGCACTGCGAAACCATTGATCAGATTGTGATAAAACTTTGGTAGGGTGTTCAACTCTGAACTGTCTAGTTTTAATTGTCATTAAATACTATAAGAAATTTTTGTATCAACTATTTTCAATCTGTGTCTCTGTGGTGATGGATTAATAATATATCTCACCACCCATATTCACCTCTTGGGTGTCATAAGAGCCAACTAGGGAAGCAAACTACGAAGTAGCAGCGCTGCAAAAAGACAGATAGCTTTAAACAAAACCTATACCAACCTGTCTGGCCAGCGTGGTGTAGTAGACCAAAACCTCCCTTCTGAGGAAACGATTATGTCCAGCAATGGACTATTAAATCTGTTGATGTTGATTTTTAATATGTAATTTTAACATTTTCAGGTACTGCCCTCTATAGCCTTTGGGCACACGAATGGAACAAGCATGGCACATGTGCAGCTGCAATACCACCATTCAGCAACGAGTTCAAATACTTTAGCAAAGGTCTAGAATTAATAAAACAATACCCTATGCACGATATCCTAAGTGGAGCGAACATATTCCCTTCAGATACAAAACCAGTCACAATAGAAGAAATTGACAGAGCCATTGTATCCAAAATTGGGAAAAAACCAATGATACAGTGTAAATATGAAGACCACATTCAATATTTATTTGAACTACGTATATGCTTCGACAAACAATTGAATCTAATTGACTGTTCAGACAATTCTTATCAACTTGGCGGGATTATCACAAATTGTAATATGAATGCTGAGATTTTTTACCCTGATCAGCATCAGGCGACAAGAGGTTTAGTACAATTATATAAGTTTATAAATTGGTTGCAGTGGTTTACATTATAATTTTTCCTTACTATTGTGCAATAAAATAGCAAAAAAATTAAAATAATATGTAATACTTTAGATCATTGATATGTCTAGATAGACTGTCGAAGCCGTGAAAAAGCGTCGAAAAAAATTGCGTCCAACTGTTGGCCACTAAATTGCTTTCCGCTGTTGCTGTGTTCACTATATACGCTAAATTTGCATAATAAAGTTAACCCGTTTGTTTTATTTGTTTCATAGTGCAACACTCAATCTAGACATAAATGTTCTAAGTATAATTCATTTTTAGTTCGAGTAACAACTTAGGTACAGTTAGCGACGAAAGTTATTCATTTGATTTTACAGAAACATACATAGTTTGTAATTAGCTGTAATCGGCGTGTCGTATATGCCAAGCCAAAACCGAAGGGCTTCCAAGTTCATTTTAATAATAAACTCAATATTGCTTGTTAACCACTCTTAACAATAAAATATAAACAATAAAATTGGAGTTAAATTTTAATTAAAAAAAATACATGTGGCAATAATATGGCCTTAATTCCATATAAATTAATGTATATTTTAAATAGTTACAACACTTATCGTTTTTGATAAATATCATTATTATTGTTTGTTTGTGTATTTACTTTGTTTGTATGTTCGAAATTCAAATGTTCACTTTCGTTGCTGACTGTATTGTGCCATGTAACAAATAACTTATTTTGGTCATTTGAGCCGGATGTCTTGAAAGAAGCTTTTAGAGTTAGTGTCATCAGGTTTGAACAATGATGCTTTAAATACATTTGGAAAAAGAGATCAGCTCAGTGGTGTAAACGGTTCTTTGCCAAATGCTTGTTGTTATTATAGTAATTTAGATCAGTACCATTTTCCAGGGTTTCTTAATTGCAAGGACCCAATATGTTCAGGAATAAAGCTTTTGTTGTTGTACAGTTTTGATACAGTATTTTTAATAGCTGTCTGTAAAAAAGTTAAATGATTTTGTTATCGCCTATGATCAAAATGATCAAATTGCTTTTTAGCCGTGAATTAACATCTATAATTTTACGTTGCTGGGTTTATATAAGTAGACCCCAATTTGCAATATCTTTTTATTTTTAACTAGGTTCATACAAGTAGGAATGAGTTGTTTTTTTTAATCATTAAACATAAAAAATGACGATAACGGTTAAAAACGATTAAAATAACGATTTTTACCACAATTCTTTAGTTGGTTTTCATTGAGTTAGTGAGTTACTTGAGCCCAAATGTAATAAATAGATCGTATATATACTTCATTAGTATATAAGTTGAGTACTTAAGAAAGTAATATATTTTGTGACGCTTATTGTACAATTATATTTGCTAACTATATAAATTAAATAAATACATTTTTATATTCCATATATTACTGAAACCAAGTTATAAGTATATCCATGACTAGAATAATGAACAAGAATATCCATGACTAGAATGATGAAGAAATATTTGTCACTCGGTTCAACTACAAAGGAAAATACACATTTTATATATGTACATAGATATTATATGAAACTCTTAACACTCGCACAAAACAGACATCGACCGGTCACCTTCAGTTTCGACGTTTCGCGGTATTTTCAAAACAAACTATAGACAACATTACGTGAGCTGTCAGTTGCGTTTTGGTATACCATTATAATAAATGAACGGCAAGAGTTAGGTTGTGGGCGAGGGCGAGAGGCTTTTTAAAAAGACAAACAAGGACGTCTGCTCCAGTCGGAGCTGTGGTTAGAACTGAGCTTTATTATCATTCTACAATATTATATACATAATTGGATCAATGAACTTAATGTTAGTGTTTCCTGTAAGTCATTAAGGAAGTAGCCTGTGGCTTATCTTATTGTATTCATAAAGTAAACAGAGAACTTAATATTAGTGTTTCTTGTAAGCGATTAAGGAAATAACCCGTGAGTTATCTTAATTGCCTACTTACAATGGGGCTATTGTCTAATGGGCTTGATTACAAGGACATAACTCCTCCCCCCTTAAGATGGAGGCGCGTCGAAGGCTGCTGCTGAAGCTGGATCTCTTCAGCTTCTTGTTGCGGAACTGAGATTTGCGCCGATTTATGTTTCCAGCAAAATCTGTGAATTCCTGCACCGATAATTGCTGTGCTGTGTGGTGTCGTGGAAATTAATGTAAGGTTTTCATCCGGGATCTTGATTTTCTCTGCCTGTTGAATTGCATTTTCAGGTTGTCTAGTTTGATTGATTCTAGATTTATTTTCATTGGTAAGATTTTCATTGTTTGACGTGCTCTTGGTAATGGTACAGTTTCTTTAACGTTAACGTAGCGCTGATGTGTCATTAATATCTTGTCTAGGATGTGCACCTTGCAGTTGTTATTTGTGGTGATTAGGAAAACTCCTTTGTTGCGCTAATACTGTACGTCGTTGTTGCAGACTGTTTTGATCACTTCTTCCTGCTTCATGATGACTAACCAGCTGTTATCCTTAATTTGTTGTATTATGTTGTTCTCGAAGCTTGCAGTTGCATAAGTGGAGTTATGCGGTTCTTGATGTTGTATCAGTTGTGCGATGCAGTCAGTTGAGTGCAGTAGTGTCTGCCACTCTAGGTGTTGTCAGATGACGTCGTCATTTGCTATTTCTATGCAGGGCTCGTGGGGATATGCAAACTCATTATTTCCCAAGACAAGGAAAGTATTTTTGGGTATAAGGATAGTGTTATTATTATTTGGGATGGAGTAAAGGTGCAACAGGTTATATGCTTGTTTTGAAACTATTGGTATGTCTAGTATAAACGTGAGTGTTTCATTAGTGCTAAAAGTTTTGACTATGATTGCTTTTTCCCACAAATGAATACTATTTATATCAGGGTTAAATGCTAGGTTTTCATCGATCTCATTCTGGATTTGGTTCAATTCGTGGTCAATCATACTAGGGTGCATTTTCTTAAGGTGAGAAAATGTTATTGCGTTTTCTAATGTTTCAAATCTGTCATATAACTCCTGAAGCGATGTCTCTATGCTATTATATATAATAGGTATTTACCTATGAAATTGCCGTTTTGTATGCAATAAGTGAAAGTACTTATTTTTTCAAACTTTTTTATTTCTGTTATTCGAAGTAATCACCCATGCAATCGACGCATCTCTGCCAAAAAAAACGTCGGAGGAGCAGTGGGGACGACCGATTGACCAAAGCTGGTTGCAGATGTGACCACCAGACCTTGCACCTACCGACTATTACTTTTTCCAAAATTTAGACAACTTTTTAGTGGGTAAAAAATTCAATTCCCGAGAGGCAGTACAAAATGACTTTGAAGAGTTTGTTGCCTCCCGTCCAGCTGATTTTTACAAGAAGGGCATCCATAAACTGCCAATGCGTTGGCAAAGATGCGTCGATTGCATGGGTGATTACTTCGAATAACAGAAATAAAAAAGTTTGAAAAAATAAGTACTTTCACTTATTGCATACAAAACGGCAATTTCATAGGTAAATACCTAATATTTATTGTAAGGTAATTCATTTCAAAATCTGTTTTTTGTTGAGAGTATCTATTGATTGCGAATGCAATTTCTTCTTGGTTATTTTTAATGTGTTTCAAATTATTTTCATATTGTTTCATGAAATCTTGCATTATACTTATAGTTCTTTTCTGAGTGGCTCTGTTATTGATTGTTTCTAACTGAATTGCTTTTATTTCCGTGTCAAATTTAATAGCATCGTTCTGGTCTAGGTTTCCCGTGATGGCTTTAATTACGCTGCCTAATCCATCTATTAATCCACGCTTTTGTCTGTTAGTGGTTTTGAAACTAATAATTTATATTCCTAAATAAAGTAATCTACTTTCTATCCTATCAATAAGGTAATCTATTTGTTTTCTAATTGCTAATGTATTAATTGAAGAATTTTGTTTTAACCTAATAGTGTAATAGTTGCTGCATATTTCTAGATAAATGTCCTTTAGTTTTGTGGTGTTATAAACTACTGCTATGTGGTATGTGTCTATTTGGTATTGTGCTTTTGCTTCTGTAAGCACTAGTATTCCATTGTGAATATCTATTGGCTGTATGACTGCAGTGGCTGCGGTGAGTCGGAGTACTGCGAAGATGGTGATGGCGTCCCTGAAACATTTTCAGGTCGCCTTAGACTTGTTTATCGTCACGATGTTATGGTATTACTGACCGACTGAAAGCGAAGGACGCCTCACGATTACAGGTGAGTCCCGCGCATGCGCCTACGGGGCATACGTCATTAGTTGGACGACTCCGGCGCAACTCGGTAGCTTTTTTTTTATTGGCGAATACGATTTTATGTGACTCGATATTAAAACGCATAGTATTTCTATTTGTAGTATTTACCTACGTGTGATTGAATAGCCCTACTACTGGTTCTCACTGTTTCTCTGTAAACGATATGAATATCGACTTTGATGAAAATTTTTTTTTTTTATTAAATTAACGTTATACATATATAGATAAATAATTCAACATTTTCATTTCCAAAACGCTTTCAAAATGACCGTGTATATATATGTCATGAATTTAAGACAATATTATATTGAAATATTATCTTTTGAAGGTGGTCAAGTGGTTTGTGACCTGTGTCCTCCTGCGGCTGATAGTTCTAGAATGTTACAGGTGAAATGGGCGGGTATACATTATAAATATATTTACATATTTAATATAAGTTTATCAAAAAAATGCAACGGGTTTTAAACGCCTCGCCTTTTAAACGAATAATGGTTTTGTAACTTCGCGAACGTATTGTAGTGAAATTGTTCCAGTTGTATAGTCGGATAGTGTTTCTGACTTCAACAGACACGCGATTTCTACTCTAGGACATGAAGGACCGGACCTGGACCCTTAAAGATCCCACCTAGAGATGTTACCTGAGGTGACTAGGACGCAACCACATAAACCTCATCATCGTCAACAGCCTTTAATAGTTTAATAGCCACTGTTGGAGTAAGGCCTTTCCTTAGAAGAGTTTTTGGCCTGCTATACCACGCTGGCCAAATGGGTTAGTATAGTGTGTCAAGTTTTTCTTCTCTTCTGCTTTTGTACTGCGTAGTTTGCTCGCTTAGTCGGCTCTTACGGCACCCACGGAATGAATAGGAGTGACGACACTCCGTATTCTTGATCCGTCACCACACGGATCAGTATGTATCTATAAGCTACTTTTATATAACTTTTATGGTAGACTGGTAGAGTACGCCATGACATTACGTCCATCTTAAGATGTAAGAAAAGAGTCGCAAGATTTATAGGAATAGCGCAACTTGAAACCTTGAGGTAATCATTTGGCATGTGGATTTTATAGACGTTTCTTTTGAGGAAACCCTAACGAGTCATTTTCTCTCACGAAATTATATGCCGGACTGGGACTTGTTATGGTATTCTGTTAGTGGCCTGTTTCAAGGAACCTACCCTAAGGAAGCAGACTGGTCAGGAAATCTTATATTTCCAACTCCTTCAATTTATTACCACACGCATACCTGGACCTTCCGAAAGTCTATAGGAACGCTTAATGATCCTACCATGGAGTTTCTCAACTTCACACTGAGATTTTTTGAACAAAACGGGATAGTGTTGCAAACATCCATATACTATGAACCTACATTTTATAATAAAGTATGAAATAAATTATATTTGTGTATTTTGTACGCTTGAAAAATTAAATGTTTAAGTATAGATAACTCGATGTCATTTAATTATTATGAATCATTTATTGTCTATGATATTACTCGACTTTCGTTATGTACTACTTTTTTCATTGTATTTAAAAGTCAACACGGCCGGATGGCGTAGTGGTTTGTGTAACGGACTGCTATTCTAAAGGTCGCGGTTTCGATCCCCGCTCAAGTCAAGCATTTGTGTGCATGAACTTTTAATGTTTGATTTGGTTTGGGTGTTTCTATGTATAATATATATGTATTTACAAAAACAAAAAGTATATATGTATTTATATCAGTTGTCTAGTAGCCATAGTACAAGCTCTGCTTAGTTTAGGTCTAAATGGCGTTGTGTGAATGTGGTAGAATATTATTATTATACATAACGTTCAGAATAACTCGTGCCAATTTTTTAGCTATTTTAAAGATTATTATGTTGTTAGCTATAATACCTATAACATTTTAATGTTATTCTGCTGTCCATGGTATGTTTGTAATTGCCCTGGTCTTGAGAGGGGCTTTTTAAAATGATTTCTAACCAATTCTTTATTCGTACCATTTTGGTAGTAAGTAAGAAAAGTTTAAGTTTATTAGCGAAGGCTTGTTTTTTTATTGATAAACAAGTTCCGTAATGTTTTTTTTTATTGTGCTGTGGCTAAAATTGCAATACTATTCTTAGTTTTGGTTCTAATAAATAAGACTTTTTTTATCTTTATCGAGAGTTTTATTAACTACTTATATTAACTTAATCTTCGTCTACCCTCCATTAATAGCATTGACCCCTTTTTTTAAGTCAGTTAAAAATGGATATCTCTTTGCATATCCCCTTGGCTTAAGTTGTAAGTGTACAATTCTGTGTTGCATTTAGGAAAGTCAAAACCAGAGTTTAAAGTACGAAGAGATTTATTGATAAACCAATCGAGTTTCCTGTTTTCCATATAAATGTGACCGTAAAAATACTTAAACTAAAATAAACAGCGGTCGAATTTCGACCGTTTTGCAGACCAATCTTGCTTGAACTGACATTGTATAGAATATACCGTGACAGGTTAAATTTATATATTGGTATTAACATAATGTTTAAAAGTTTTAGCTTTCTGTATTCCTTTTACATTTAAATACGTAGAGAGAATGTTCCTCACGCATTAATATCTTTTCATTAAATATGTACCTATGAATATTTTTTGTATTCTGTTTATGGTGGCAAATTATGTTTTAAGAAAAAAGCTATTTAGGATATTCTGCGTCGATATCATGTATTCGTGGTAATGTAAGTAATATCAAAACTATCTAATATTAGATACAAAGAACACAGTATCTTCACAATGCACACTGTACTTTCACCGTTGACTGAGAATTATAATAATTGAACATTTGTGCCATTCCCAAACCCGAACATATACAATATAATATTATATTTGGCGCCTTATTTGCCTCGCGAGACTATGATTACAGCTGACGGCACCAGACCTGAAACAAAACATTAATTAAGTAGTTTAGAGAAAGGTTGAATTATGGCACAAAACCAATAGTCTATTAAAACAGACTAATTATTTTTTTATCTCGTGTTTCTAATTTAGAAAATGACAGACTTCCATACAACCGTTCATCCCTTATTTTAAACCCCTTATTGAAAAAATTTCCAAAAAATACTTTCTTAATAGTTGCTTACAACATAGAAAGTTTTACAAAATTTCAAATTTGCAGCCCCAGCGGTTTAGACTCTGCGTTGATGAATCAGTCATTCAAACATGCCCAAGTATCTCGAAAATACACTATATCTATGTCATACTAAGTTGTTAATTCTGTTTTTCAAACAAATCTTTTGCAGCTGTCACTGATCTCTGCACAACTCTAAATGTAAATCAGCTCCTTAAAGACAACCGACCAGTAGTCCGCGAGTGGTTCATCGCGGGGACGATGCATCTAGGGCACAATGCTCCCCTGCCTGCCTAGTGAAGATTCCTGACACACTACTCATCTATTCGCGGAGAACACAATGTCCACCCGTGGACCACCTGACGACGAGGTGTTGCTAGTCTGGTGTCAGATGGGTTTAATGAGCTATGACCTTAAGATCTTAAGATAGACTGGAACATAATGCCTGTGGCATTAAGCCAGCCATTGAACAATAGAATTTGTGCATTAAGTATCAATGAAATAAATACACATGTCAACACTAGGTACTAAACACAAATACATTACGTATAGTTGAATTACATAAACGGGCCTGTTAGTCTAGTGGTTAGTGACCCTGACTGCTAAGCCGGAGGTCGTGGGTTCGATTCCCACCCAGGACAAGCATTGTGTGATAAGCGCGGTCATTTGTTCAAAAAAAAAAAACTCAAACTTTCTTTATTTCATAAAATTTTTAAAATTGTTTGAAATCGTCTTCCATGTAGACTCTAAAGTCATAGATCAACACACACAAAAGCAACAATCTCTGTTTTGTCAAATAGTAACCAAATAAATTTAACAAAATCAAACCCATACAAAATCTATGATATGCCTGTGCCGATCTACAACCGCCCGTTTCCAAGGGGTTGAGCCTTATGAGAAGAAAGGGCAAACAAACTCATGGCCACTCTTTTGCAATTCACAAGTAGATACAATGGCACTATTAAATATATCACAACATTGTTTTGATGTGTGCTAGTATGTCCGTTATTAAGGACTTAAAGGTGAAAAAACAACGAAGAGAAAACAAGATTAAGAAGAACAAACGAATACAAGAGAAAATGAAGTGAAACATAAAAAATAGAAAAAATAATAAAAAACATACTAGCCACACCACATTTTTACTTAAGAAAGAAATAGCCTGCGCTAATTAATCCCAAGCATTCTTGTCCTCCATGTAATCCACAATCGAGTAGTAGGCCCTCTGGCACAAGCCACGTTTTACTGCGGATTTAAATTTGTTAATACTCAACTCCTGAATATTATTTGGGATTTTATTATAAAATCGGACACATTGACCTCGAAAAGACTTGTTTATCTTTTGGAGCCTAGAGGCGGGTACAACAAATTTATTTTTATATCTGGTATTTATGGCATGTACATCACTTTTTTTCAAAAAGCTATCTTTATTTTTGTGAACATATATTACATTTTCATAAATATATTGACTTGCCACTGTCATTATATTTATTTCTTTAAATTTCTGCCTCAATGAGCAACGATTGCCTAAATTATAAAGTGCTCGAATAGCTCTCTTTTGCAGCACAAAAATAGTTTGAATGTCGGCAGCATTCCCCCACAGCAGAATACCGTACGACATTATGCTATGAAAGTAACTGAAGTAAACAAGTCGTGCTGTATCAACATCAGTCAACTCTCGGATTTTCCTTACTGCGTATGCTGCTGAGCTGAGTCTACTCGACAATTTATCAATATGTGGGCCCCACTGTAGCTTAGCATCTAGTGTTATACCTAAAAATGTCGTAGTGTCCACAAGGTCCAGCCCGACATCCTTAATTATCACAGTAGTTTTCACTGGCTTGACGTTTGGCATAGTGAAACGTATACACTTAGTTTTTTGTTCATTTAATAGTAAATTGTTGACATCAAACCAATGAACCACTTTCGAAATGGCGCTGTTTACAAATGTGAAATCAGAAAGTGTCCGTTTTAGTCTAAATAATAGTGATGTATCATCTGCAAACAACACAATCTCGAGATTGTCCTTGACAAAGTGAGGTAAGTCGTTAATATATACTAAAAACAAAAAAGGGCCGAGAATAGAACCCTGTGGAACGCCCATTTCTATCACAGAGCCTGGAGACCGCTCACCATTAATATCAACTTTTTGAATCCTATTACATAGATATGAGGCAAGTAGTTCCAGGGCGTTATTTTTGATACCATAGTGCTGTAATTTCCTGATCAGCGTTTCATGAACAACACAATCAAAAGCCTTAGATAAATCGCAAAAGATACCTAGAGAATCGTGGGCATCCTCCCAGGCATCAAATATATGTTTTACTAGCTCAACACTAGCATCAGTTGTGGAGCGACCCCTTGTAAAACCAAATTGTCTATTGTGCAATAAATTATTATTATTAAAAAAACTGTGCAATTGATCATACATAATTTTTTCAAAAATTTTACTAAATACTGGTAGTACTGAGATAGGTCTAAAGTTAGTTGGGTCAGATGTACTACCAGATTTGAATAAGGGAATAATTTTACTAGACTTCATAAGATCAGGAAATACACCACTATCAACACATTAAATGTAAATGACAATTGATTAGCCACAAGAGATATAATTGTCTTAGTAATTAAAACAGAATTTCCCCATAGGTCGGTTGTTTTTTTAACATTAATAGTGTTAAAGGCTTTAATAATTTCAAAGGGGGACACATATTGGAACTTAAATTCACTATCAATTCTTCTAACATTCTCTTTTAAAATTGATTCTGCAAGGTATGGTGAGGAGTTCAAAGATTTAGTAGTTGATACAGGAATGTTAGTAAAAAAATTCTCAAATGCAGCAGCAACCTCAGCATTTGATGTGATAAATTTATTGTTTATGTTTAAATTAAATTCATTATTACGGTTTGGATCTTTGCCAGTTTCACTATTAATAATTTTCCAAGTGGTTTTAATCTTATCATTACTACTTTTAATCTTTGAACTAATAAAACGAGACTTAGCCAGTTTACAAAGTTTCCTAAACAGCTTCGAATATTCTTTAACATAATTATGAAACTGTTCACTTTTATTATAATTCCTCTCATCGTATAGCTCGTATAATCTTTTCCTACTTTTGAGTAAGCCAGGGGTAGCCCATTCACTAAATGTGGCGTTACCTTTAACCACTAGCGTTTTTGGTGTAAAAATGGTGTTAAATGTTGAAGAGAAAGTTTCAAAAAAAACTATTATAATAAGTATTAGGGTTATTCTCTACACAGAGTACTGAATTATTAAAAGCAGCTTTAAGTTTATCCTTAAAGTTTTCACAACGCTTTGCGGTTTTAGGTATCACCACAATTCTTTTTTCTGACACTTTTTCATACCTATCACAGAAAGATACTAATTGACCACAGTGGTCAGATTGTAATTGATTGATTATTTTCTTGTCCTTAATAACAATATCTGTAAATATATTGTCCAAACATGTTCTGTGTCTGGGTGTAATTTATCTATAAAATGTATGTATTTAAAAATATATAAGTATGTTTATCAGCAGTCTGGTTATCATAGCACAGGCTCTGCCTAGTTTGGGATCAGACCGCCGTGTGTGAGATGTGTGAGGTATATTATATTATTATGCTACATATACAAACAATTGTGCTTATTATACAATGATTGGTCATTGTATAATGTCACGTCATATTATGACTTAGTAGATTTTACTGCAAATCTTTACTATTGTTTTCACAGTACCTATTATAATTTGTTACCACAATTTTCCAATTTCTAATATTCCGAAGCGACGACGATGTGTTGATAGTACCTGGTTAGTTTTCAGTTCAGGTATCATTCGACGAGGTGACGCATCTCTTCGAATGACTAGAAACTACAGGCTTATCTCTCAAGACGACCTTAGCCAGGCTTGCAGATAACCCGCTCCAATGTAGCAGAAGCCAGAGGGTCAATTCTCGTAATAGTGTTGAAAAGATTAGCAGATTACAGATTCAACTTTCGGTTACGATACGATATCACATTACAGTCAAGGTTGGATGTTTAATACTTTACTAGGAGAATACCTTCTATGACATTCAATTCACTCAGACATTCATTTCATCATTCATTCAGACAATTCATTCACGTGAGATCAAGACTAGATCGGAACTAAATTTTGAATAGAATAGAAAAATATTCTATTTGCAAATATGGGTAATACATGATAGGTGTTACAGTACATTGAAGCTCAACCATATTTTATAAGTGGCGTGCAAACATTTTTTGTATTAGGCTAAGAAACATGCTTTTAGACCAATTTTTGAACTTTTGAACCAATTTTAATTACGAGAAATAACCTACAGTAGTATAGTATCATATATAAAAAAAACGAACGAGATTTACAGGGCAAAAACGATTCTTTTAATTAAAATCTTTTAAAAACGTTAAAAAATAGGAAACCGACTTTGATAGTCGTACAAGGCGATTTATAAGTACTTATAATAGCTATAAACGCACCTAATAAATCCAGCGGTTTGTCGTAATCCTCTGTAGTAAATATCTTCTTTGGAAATGTCGTCATCAGCTTGAAGCCGTCCTCTTCCGCAAACTCCTGTGCGTTAATTTGCAGGTACAATCTGTAAGTTATCAAATTTATTTTTAAGTAAAGCATAATATTTCGGACTTCTGACACACAACGCCATCTAGTTTCAAACTAAGCAGAGCTTGTACTATGAAAGTAAGATTGACTGATAGAATACTTAATTACTTCTTTTTTGTAAATTTTCATGCATGCTATACATAGAAAACATCAAAATGTTTTCAAATTCATTTCATTATCTTCATCAGTGGTGTGGCGACTTTCATACATAAACATACTTCAACGCCGTCAATAGACAGACTACTAATCCTGCATCGCGCTATGAAAGTTCTCGCGCCAATTAGTATAAATCCAAATTCCCGACATCAACCGTTGGTTGGATCACCGTCCCTGGTCAGAGGTAGCTTCTCTTTGTGTTGAGGCATTGACTTGGAACCTTATGAACACTTTTTTACATACTATGAGTGTTACTATTAAACTCAGCAGGGATAGTTTCTAGAAGACCTTGTTTTCTCAACAATACTAATTCCTATTTGTGAAGAGGTAAGTGAATAAGAAAAGTATGTCTTTGGGAAAAAATCGCTATTAAGTCACAATAGCAGTGTTTCTTCTACTACCAGAAATGGACGAAGTGGCCCTGCTCTGATTAGATTTTAGATTGTTTGTATTTCCTGCAGTTGGATAAAAACTAGCCCTAACCCTAGGTTGACACAATGATATCAGTCTGATTGGGACACAGAGCACTCTTACTATTTCAAATACCTGGTTGGGAGTTATTGAACTCACAACCTTTGGCTTAGAGTCGATAGGCCAGACCAAAGCCTAGTCAAGTTAGATATATTTTCAAATTTATAAGTGGATGCAGTAGAGTCAGCTAAGGAGGTTTTGGTCTACTATACCACGCTGGTTGGTAGGGTTGGTATTGAGTTTGTTTTAAGATTGCCTTCTCTTAGCTGAGGTGTTGTATGCTCCCTTAGTCGCCTATTATGACACCCACGGGATAAATAGGGGTGGTGACACTCAATTCTTAATCTGTCATCCATGTGGGATGTCAGATGCAGATTAAGTGTTCATAATTTGCATCTGGAAAGAAATGAAAAAAAATAATTACCTGACAGCAGCAAGCTGCTCTTTAGCTGCAAATGTGTGTGACAGGGTTTTGCCATCAGGCAATCTGATCTGAATCCTGGCTTGTTCATATGTGACCTTGGGCCCGGGGTTATTTGTGATCGGTGGTGGCGCCGGGGCCGGTGCCGCTGCTGCTGGTGGCTGTCCTCCTGCCGCTAGCCTGAAGAAGTTTAAGGCGTATAATTTAAAAAGAAACTGGGAACTTGGGTTTCGTGGTTAGAGGAAGAGGAATACACATAAATTATTTAAATTTATATACGCCAAAATATAACTTTCTAATAGAAAATTTAAATAAGTTACAACAACACAATAATCTAACCATAATTCTCATTAATATTTGATTGTTGTGTTCGATATTCTTCGCACTTGTTCTCTCGGTATATCGCAACATCACAGAAAGTGCCAGTGTTCGTAAACTTTCCCAAAATAATGTAGTATTGGAAAAATTCAAGAACATCGAGAGACATTCTAGAACCTGAGAACTTTTTTAACATAAGCACAGGCCTGGGGTGACAGGTGAGGCCATCTGTCACCCTAGCAGAAGCACGCTGGGTTAGCGGTGCGACGTGCTGTGGAGCGCGCCCCTTTACTTTCTAGAAGGGGAACACCGTGGTTCCCACACTCAAGGGGGTCATCAACAAGCCGTAGATGGCCTGGTACCCGTGGCGGCGTGCAGTTTTTGGTCGGTTCGTGCCCGACATAACCACCGGTTGAGGTATCCGAATTTAGTGGCAAGTAGATGTAATTTTGTTTATAAATAATATAGATACGCCAATGCTCTGCTCCAATGAGATAGCGAGGTTTCGAAGTAAACAAAAATATCATCGATATCGATCAATTTTTAGATTTTGTTGATTTTTCGAACTTCGATATCACCTACTTGGTTTGTGGAAGTCTCATGGCAGTCTCTCCGTGTAAAAAATGAAAGTTCAACCGTATCATAGAAGACTTAGCTGACACCAACCTAGTTTGAGAAAATTGGCTCTGAAGAGCATGCTTTAATAAGATATGCTTTATATATTCTGTATGTTTGCTTCCTATATCATAAAAAAAGACTTACTTTCTAGCTTGCTTGTCCGCTTCTATTTGTGCCCGCACCCTATTCCTTGCCATCATATCTTCTACCTTTTCTCTGCGCCGCTGTTCTACTAATTTCTGCATCTCTTGTTCCTGTAGCCGCAGTCGGGCGTCTTGCATTTCTTTGCCAGACTTTATACGTACACGTTCGCGTTCTAACGCTTCAGCCTATACAGTCAGGAAGTCATAAATTATTACAATATTTTAGAAAACTTGTGGCCCTTTTTTAATGGGAGCCTAACACCACAAATTGAGTGATAACCCTATGAACTTAATTTAATTTTATCATAATGTAGATTGTGTGTGTTTTTGCGTTTTTGATTAGAGATCATTCATTAATTACGTAAGGATGGTTTCGAAAACGCGGGCAGAATTCACTATAATATAATTATTATTTATGACATTTAAAATTGATGAAAATGAATATATAAAATTATATATTTTAATAAACAATAAAAATTTGTAAAATAAGATGTAAATCAAAGTGCACATTATGGAATGAAGAAAATCATTCAGCATCTGAAATAGATTTTGAATAATAAATTTCAACTTCTAAAATATTAAGTAAGAATGGGTTTTACCCCTCTTCCCCCTCCAGATAAGGGCATGTATGAATTTTCTTAAGCCCCCCCTTACATAATTAATGAAGGCCCTTACATGTCTAAATATAAACCGGTAATGCTTTGGTAATAAGTCTTTTATTGATCATAATCATACTAGATGTTGTATAATCAAATTATGAAAACTAATAAATAAACATTTTTTTATGTATGTTTATTATGTTAGTATTTACCTATTTATAAACGAAACATCATATGAAAGTTATGTTGTTGAATTTGAAATCTTGTTGAATAGAAATTAAAACCATGATTTAAGAATTACATTTAAAGCGATTAAAAGATTGGATTCTGTGTTGATGTGAATTTAGAACATTGTTTGGACTCCAAGTAATCAATTATTTACACATTCACACATGATACATATAAAATCATCTTCAAACTTACTCCACAAATGTGGTGCTAGAACGGCCCATCTAACAGACAGAAGCCAATTAGTAGTTCAGAATAATGACCTAGCGTTAGTTTGGTACCAAAGATAAATAGATTTAAGTATGTACTATTAGGTACCAAGCAATATCAAAGTCAGCGGAGATATCTAACTAGTTATAAATTCATTACCACATTCAATAAACATGTTTTATTCTATTATTTTCTTTTCTGCTGAAACAATACAATTCCATGTGCTGTAAATAAGTTTAGTAAAATAATTTACCTTTTCTCTTTCCTCCCGTTCTTTTCGTTTCTGTTTCATTCTTTCTTCAAGTAATGCCAATTGAGCTTGTTTTTCTTCTTCAGTCAATGGTTTTTTCTCTTCTGTAGACTCAGAAAAGCTTTTGTGATCTGTTTTGGCCGCATGGTACTCCATCTCATCTTGATTTTTTAGCAACTTTCCACACTCATCACACTTAAAAGACTTTACTTCGGCAGCTTCATCTTCAGCTTTTTCTTGCGTTGATGAGGACGATTCCGGTGCTGCGGCTGGAGCCGAAGTAGGTTCTGCACTCGATGAAGATCCTATTGTATGTCCTGCATCAATTGCAGGATCATCGGCGTGTGCCAAGAGCCATTCCATAGCAGGCTCTACACCTTTATAATTCGTAACCGCCAAAGCCTTTTCTCTAAATTGCAAAAAATCAGTACATGTTTAAGGTTATCAAATTTAGCGATTTACAGTCAACACCAAATGAGAAAATACTTACGCTCTCTCTTTGGAAAACCCCATTTCGATAAGTGTTTCTATTTCTGCCATTTTAGAGCTACTTACTGTAAATTAGGTATTTTTAAAGATTACAATTTAACACAAAATAATTCATCACTCATTCATCAGCTGTACTTTTTTAAAACCTCACAGATAATAAAAAGTCAGTACGTTACATTTTACACAAAATCTGTATTTTAAATATTTATTTTCAAAGTAACATTTATTGATAACTTTCTCAGATATTAATATCAAAAACAAAACAAAAACAACAAATAAACATTGAATGCATTGAATATCTGCATAAAATTTCTTAAAATATTCAAAATATGTATTTTGAATATTTTAAGAAATTTTATGCAGATTTAGATATTCCGAAAAAACAAGTTTTGTAGCGGTTAATTCAAAGACAAACAAAAATAATCTTAAAAAGAAAACGGCGTGACAGTCAAATCAAATATTTTTATTAATGATAAACAAATAACAAATAATTTATTAAACAAACTTAGATAAAAAATGCCCACTATAAAAAGATGTAATAAACGCAAATACATTCAACATAGCGATCCTGGTAAAATCTTGGATCTGGTGATGAGTCTAACAGACGATACTTCTGGCCTCCTACAAGCTAAAATAAATACATATGTACGTAACTTTATAATAATATTGTACTTTTATAATGTGTAGGTACTCGGTTACAACAATAATAATATGATTTGATAAATACTTAATCATTATCAAGATTTTCTATTGGCCAGTTCTCTTTTCCCTGAGATTCATAATCAATGTTTATGTGCATAAAATAGCAGAAGCATAGGCAAACTTAACATTTTCTAAAGTTTTTTTTTGGTTATGTACTGCTATATTTCAATGTTCTTCAACCATAAGCCATTCTTCTGTTTGACCATTCGGTACTTTTCTTGTTTATTATGTGAAGCGGCTGCTCAGACTGGGAATGTTGTTTTGCTTTTTATTACCAGTCGTTTTGATGTTTGGATAGTCTATTTTCATATAGGATGCTGTACTGGCCCATTTCCTGTTTGACTGGTTTTATGTTATGATCCATATACATGTATTTGTGCAATTCGCGATGTTAAACATTGTTCTCAATGCCTTGTTTTTGAATTTTAAAAGTATTTCTATGTAGCTGTTACTTGCAGTACCCCGCAGTTGGATCCCATATGTTCACATAGGTTTTATGATCGGTTTATAGACCATCATCTTGCTGGTGTTACTTAACTGCGAGTAACATCCAGTTAACCAGTATAGACTTCGAACCTTACTATCGAGTTGCTTACGTTTGGCCCAGATGTGTTTTTGTCACGTCAGTCTTCGATCAAGATGCATTCCCAGATATTTTGTATGGCCATGGTTGAATAGGCCTTTATTTGACGGCCGGCCTCTGATGGTTCGCAACCGAGATCGGCTACATGTTTTGGTAGGCATAGTTGTAGATAATAATGCCGTATCATTAGCGTACGTTGTAGTCATTGTATTTTCATTAGTTGGGAGGTCTGCAGTATAGAGGCCTAGTGCAGGACCTAGTATACTACCCTGAGGGACGCCTGAATTGATGTCGTAGAGTTGTCAGCATTCATTGTTGCATTTCACCTGGAAGCTTCTTTTATTAAGGTATGAGATAAGAATTTGTAGAAACGAATGAGGTAGCCAGTTTTCAATCTTGTTCACTAGTTCATTGTGCCATACCTTATCAAAAGCTTGGCTAATATCCAAGAATACCTCAGAACAGTACTTGCGATTTTCTAAACGTTTGCTGATCTGAAGGTTGAAAGACCATGCTTAGGTGCTCGCAAAGGCAGTTTTCTTGGTCAGATCTGGCTCAAGTACCACTGTTATCTCTTATAGGTGGCGTTGGTGTCAAGGGTCTCTTCATTTTTTTTGTTGCTTGCGATAATGAGTAATTAGTGTCCGAAGTAGGAGATAAGGATGCTAAGTTATTTTGCAGATTGTCATTGTCAAATAGTTTTATTAAGCTGTTTAGTTCTTCAACATCTATTGAAGAGTTTTTATCTCTTGGGTCGATACTCCGCAGACTACGCAAAAAAATTGCGTAGTCTGCGTCTTTCTAGTATTTTTTCTTTGATATTTTCAGGCTATACATTATGTTTAAATGATTTTCTTTTGATCTTAGTCGTGGAATTATCAGCGGCTCTTTGTATAGTTATGTTTAATTGCTCCACTTCATATTCAAGGTTTTCTATTGTCTTAATTATCTAAAGTAATAAAATTATAAAAAAGAAATAAAGTGCTGTAAAAGTGCTGTAGTGGTTTTTATAATTCCAATTCAATATAAAAATGTATTTTTTTTTATAAAGAATATAGATATACCCTTAGAACCAAACAATAGAATATATGGTTAAAATATCTAACTTATCTTTTATTTTCAGTTAAAAGAAGAATGTGAATCTGAAATCGTTTTTCACATTATGATCCAAGTAGATCGAAATGAGGCATATATTGACAATATAGGTACAACTGTCTTTCCAAAGAGGATAAAGATTAAAGTAGGTACAACATTTTTTTAAAAAATATTAACGATCCGCCCCCGGCTTCGCGTGGGTGCAATGTGGAGTAATTAATTATGCTATTATAATGATAAGACTATAATACAGGACATCTTTATATGCAATATTTATAGGACTGCTCAGCTTCTGCCATCCGCTGCCACCCGGGATGGACGCGATGTACGACCAGACGCGGCGACGCGACGGCCGCTTTGACCCGCATTTTAAATCTCTGATATCTGATAATTTTAATGATATACTGTCGAAGGCAATATTGATCTATATTAAAAGCACAACGTAGCTAACTTATTTTTTGGATAAGGAATAATACTTTAATGTTCAAAATAGTTTCGTAAATTACCAATTATTTTTTGTAATATGTAAAAGATAAAAATTGGGTTATTCTTAGGAGATAGACATATACCATCTATCAGGGATTCTTTTGTAGATCTTTTTAAGATACATAATTTAGTAGTACATTATTTTGATCTATCTCGTAAGGTTTAGCCAGCGTTTGCAATGTAAGCGCACAAAAACAAGTTTTTAACTTCATAATTAATTTATAATCTCTGAAATTCTTGGATATGCGCTACATTATTATATGTATGTATTTTACATTTAAACTCGCCCCTTGAACCATTCTCTCTATTGGTAAAAACCGCGTTAAAATCCGTTGCGTAGTTTAAAAAAACTAAACATACTAGAAAAAAAAGCGACCCTCTGCATTAAAACGTTTCACATCAATAATTAACTTATAAAATCATCATCATCATCAACAGCCTTTGATAGTCCCCTGCTAGACATAGGCCTCTTCTTAGAAAGGAGGTTTTGGCCTATTATACCACGCTGGCCATACGGATCAGTATAGGGTTTGTTTCAATTTTTCCTTCTCTTTGCTGTGCTGTCATCCCATCGGATGGGATGAATAGAGCTGGCGACACTGTATTCTTAATCCCTCGCCATACGGAAAAAGACGTGTGGTGGGAAGACGTACGTTTGAAGTCGGTTCAACTTTTTTCAAAAGGATTTATATAAAACATATTTTTTATACACAGATGTGTGCAAAGTACGATGCCGTATTAAAAAGTAGTTGTGAAAAGTCCGACTTGTTGACCAACTTTGAAACGGACTTCCAGCAGCTTGTGTCACCTGTAAGTATCTGGGCAAAAGTACGTAGTTTACGTAAAACTTGTAATTTTTGATATAATGGTGCTGTAGCTGTATTTAAGTGTTTTCAATTACTTAATTCAACTTATAACTCAGACCAATTTATTTCGGTTAATGATAAGTGGTAGAACAAAGATCACTGACAAAATAAATAGACTTGGATTTAAAAAAAAATCTTCATTCTAAAAATAATATTCTTAAAGTTTTTTATTCAATTTTCCGACCATTTTTTTAATACACCGCTCAACCTGCCCATGTTTGGTTATAGGTATCTCTATGGTTTATGTTTTACATAAACCGTAGAGATATAAACATAGAGAGAACACGAGGTATAGCTGCCTGTAAGTGGAAGCGATGCAGGCGCGCGAGAGATATATGCCGAATAGTTGCCTCTGTTGTCTCTGTTTAGCTAAACTGCAATTGGCTATCGTGCAGTTACATAATAATAAAATGTTCATTTTTTATTTCAGTTCCTTCTCAAAAATACTCCAAAGAAGCGTATAGTAATGTTCCCTATAGTGGACAAGTCATTTGCAGTAATATACTGCGTTGTTGCGCCACAAGCACCAGAAGAACATGTAGCTACTTTCATACGCGAAGTTTCTTTGTGCGTATTCCATAATATTATGTTGCCCACATTACAAAATAAGTTATAAAATTATGCAAATAATTAGCTATGTTAACAAATCTTGGAAGTTAATTTTAACCCACTTCTGTTGTATCAAAATGAATCTTTTAATTTTATATGTAGCTCGTATGACAATTCTATAACTGCGTACTTTGGAGCTGATCCAATGACTCACTATTACTACTTTACTAGTTAAGTCAGTTCGGCATTAAACTATAATAATTCTTCTTTTAAATTAAGTACAAAGTTTGTGGATTCCTATAGATAGCACCTTGTGTTAGGGGCCCACAACTGCAGAAAGTAAGTCGTAAAATAAAGTTATCGCTTCATCGGCCACAACTCAACACGTGCACAAACACTTCTGCCAATTCTCATCTATGCCAATTTCAGATATCTGAACCACAACTTTAGAATTTAAGTATAAGATTCAAATTGGACTATGAAAAAATGGTCACATTCTTGAATTTTGTCAAAATGTCAAGTGGCTTCCAATCCGCTTTTGCCGGAGCCGAAGTGTCTTCTTGCTTTACATAATATTCAATACTAAACCTTCTTTTTATCTCAAAGTTCTGTTGCTTTAAAATTATTTATATAGAGCTTACTTAACTCCTTAAAATATTGAAGATTGCTTTGAATTCGACCGCTCACCATATCTTTCATATGTACTTCTTGTTTAGATTTATCTGGCCAATTTTGAAAAAGACAATCGCCTTGGAATACGAGACCACCATTAAAAAAAAATGTCAATCGTTGCTTCGTGCCATTAGAAAAGTTTTTGCTCAGGTAACTGTATCTATCCTATTGTGTAAATATATTTAAATTGTGTGACAGATATTAACGACACACAAGCGCGTCTGCCATATATATATTATATTAGGCGAATACTCTGGCACGTACAGGCCAGCTCGGCCGGAGTGATACTAGGGCCTCACAGAAAACTGGTGTTAAGTGATTGAGATTGCTGAAGGCCCAACTTTCATCCCTGAAACCTGACTTGGGCGGCAACGTTCTCGTGTCTCAGTTGCAGGTATCCTGGTCGATGGTAGTCAATTAGCACGAGGTGAGTCTAATCAGGGGGATATTATTCCCATAAAACGGCGTGAGGGGTCTATGGATTCCGGTCGGAACAAAGTTTCTTTCGCTTTTTGGTCGACATTTGCTATACGGTCTGCTTTAAAGTGTCGGCAAAAAGTCACATTTTTCGGCCTCGCTCCCATCCGCTCAGAACTTGTAATGCGCGATAAGGATTTTCGTTCCAGAAAATGTAGCTCATAGTAAGTCTCATTCCCGGTAACCGATAGGTAAGATAAGTCAGACGTAACTCTAAAAAAGGCAATATTTTAAGCTGTCATTTTTATTCCTAATTCAGGTGACATGTCTTGAGAAACTAATTGCTGTGGCCACGGAACAAGTGAAGCTACTGGTCAATGCACAGCACTGTTCTCTAATACTGATAGATGTGGATAAAAATGATTTGTATGACATAAGCCACAAGGTTTGTACTTAAATTTTATTCAGATGGTTTATTTCAGTAGTGTTACAGTTCATTTCGGTAATGGATGGAATTCGAAATAGTTACCATTTGATCATAAGACATATTCCTGCTCCTATCCTAATTTAGTATAGATGATTTCCGTTGAAAATATATACATATATAAATATTATGGCTGGTTTCTTCAATTGTCGGCCAATCCTTAATTCCTCTTGATTCCCGATGAGAAGAAGAAATAATATATGTAAAGTCCCCATTTTACTTTACTAAAATTACGATATCACAAGCCTTGGTTGGGCTAAAGCAACTGAGTTTGCAGTAGTTCAAAAGGCCAGGATCGGGAATCCGTATATCCGTATACCCGTACTATATTTTGCAATTTAGGACACTAGCCGGACTAATAAGCAGTAATAAGCATCTTGCAACCAACTTCTACCTATCCAACCCATTTTTGTCCAACTGAAAGTTTGGTCTATTTGGGTGTATTGGTAGAATAAATACAGTGTCAGAGTCTCTATACACGGACTTGAGAGAGAGAAATTTAAATTTATAATGATGTTTAATACTGTGACAGCTGTTAAAAAAGGAATAATGAGAGTAAAAGTTTATTTTTTCTCTTCTCCTTCTGTGCGAGACAGTACTGCTGACATTACTTCTTTTATGTCCACTTCATAATTCTCAACCAAAGGGTAGTGCACCTCCACACTCATTTCCACACCACCCTAAGGTTAGACTGGTAGAGAATGCCTATGGCATTAAGTCCGCCATTGTACTTATGTGCATAAAGTTATTAAATAAAAAAAAAAAAATGTATAGTAAACTCGAACATGATTTAAATTTATTCTAATTTTTGAAGGAATTCGCATTGCATCGTCGTTTCCCAATGAATGCCGGCATCGTAGGTGAAGTCATAAAGACTGGAATTGCAATCAACACACAAAACCCTAAAAGCCATATTCTGTTCAATGAAAATATTGATTCCATACCAGAGCAGGAATGCAGGTAAAATGAATTAATGATGAATTAATATAACATCGGCGTTATGAGGAAATTTTATATTAAAATCAACTTACGCTCCTACAAGAGCTACAAATTTGAGTATAAATATGTATATTTTAATTTTTTGGAGTTTATCTACTCCTAAGATTCGATTTTCATTGAAGGCGCCGTTTGTGAAAAAAATATGGAGAGTACAATTTAGTGATCGAATGACCTCGTTACGTTTTATGTGTGCAGCCTATCGAGCGCACCTTTCACATGTGTGTCTATAACTAGTGTACTTGTGTGCAGCCGAATCGTTCTTAAGGAGTGCAACTCAAGAGTCACAAGTGCTTTGCCAACTTTTGAGTGCTCTTTCCGAAGTCATTGTGGCTCGGTCTTCAGTAATTTCTTTCATTGGATAAAACAATAAGTACTCTTCCATGGTAGCAAATTGTTTAGATGAAATTCATAAAATCCATCCTCTTGCCTCTTTTATCTTCTTCTTTTTCGGGTATCTCTCCCCGCCTGTCAACTAATTCTCCAATTTCACCACCAGCAACCTTCTCTGCTTCCCGATCCGCGAACAATCAGGCATCTTAGGAGCGGGGCTGGTCATCAACAAAATAGAAGACACCTACTTTGACGCCATAGACGAGGAAATGGCCCTAGCTTTCAGTATTTACTGTGGAATTTGCATTGTGCATTCAACAATGTATGGAAAACTTCACGAGGCTCATGTAAGAAATGCGCTGGCGGATGAGTTGATCTTGTACCATTTGAAGGTGAATATCTAAGATTTAATCATTTCAAGCAATACGTAGGCTGACCGTATTAAAGACGGCTGCAATCAAAGGTAAAACATAGCGAAGCAACAGACAGAATTGAGAACGTAACAGCCAATATACAGTATATTTCCATACTTTTAGAGCTTACTAGAAGCGTTTAGGGACTGTCTTAAAAATTGAAGACACTGTTACTACAGAACCATGTTAATTTTTTAAAGGTGGATGACCGAGAATTGGCAAATATGCTAGATTGCACAGGGTTCCACGACCACCAGCAGTTAGTTGATTTGGACTTTAACCATCGCGCACTACCGCTAAAGGAACTGCCTTGTTATGTGTTCCGAATGTTCACTGATCTTGGATTCGATACAAAGTATGTTCTATTCAGTTTTATATGGTCAATACTTTCTATGACATATAATAAATATCTCAACTCACATACGGGCCAAAATTGATGCATCGATGGTAATCCATCAAAATTATTTAAAGCTGCATTTATAATGAAAGATATTGCACACATAAATTTCTAGAAAAAATATTTTTATTACAACTATTGGATTTATTTTTTTTGAGCATTCTTTATTTAACTAGTTTGTGAATCGATTCTGCACGACTGCTTTACTATGCCTGCCCACCTTCGAAGTTTCTATCAAATAATAAATAATGTTATTAATTTGTTGACCGCACAAACTCAGCTATATATTTCTGTAGAGAAGCTCGGTAGTTTACGGGATGATAATTGAATGAACCACTTCGTCACAAGTTCGACATCTTCCCTATTACCATTGTGCAGTTCAAAAACACTTATTAGAACAGGGTTTGTTAATAATATTTGCGAATTACGCAACATGAGACAATGATTTTGTGCAGTCACGTACAGAAGTACCAAACTAAGAAGGAAGGTAAATAAATCTTGGGAATAAACTTATCTACAGATTCGAAATAAAACGCTGCAAGTTAGCTCGCTTCATCTTGCAAGTGAGGAAGATGTACCGAGAAGTGCCTTACCACAACTGGTTGCATGCTTTCAACACTGTGCAGTGGGCGTACGCTGCTATCGTCCACTGCAAACTTTTGTCACGATTTTACACGTGAGTACAGATACATACAACACTCACTGAATCAGTACTTTATTTATTTACTATATAGGAGGTGAAAGATTACACGAATTAGTTCATAGAAAGTGCCTACCGCTGCCCATGAACGCCTGCAACTCAGTAGTCTTGTATTAATGAAAAGACCGATAATACCGCAGGCGACAATTTATTCCACAGATTGGTTGTGGGAGGCAAAAAGTTTTTGTAAAACGCACAGTAGTTTGAGTGCCAATTATCTAAGAGATGAGGATAAAAAATTTGCCGCAAGGGACGATGGAAACTATTTTTCTTTTTTAAATTTATTCTATGGCTGTTGCGTGTAGACTTTTTAGAAATATCTGCCATATAAAATTTTATTCTCACTTAAGTAATTGTGGTTTATTGCTGTCAAAATATGTTTCTAAAAACACATTCAGATATCTCTAAACACATACTATATCAAAATAATATAAATAAATATTATAGATAAATTACACCCAGACACCTAATAAATGATCGCAAATTTGTCCTGTATGGCAATTGAACCAACGACTTTGTGCTTAGCAGCAACTAACCACTAGACCAACAAGCCACTAGGCCGTCTCATTTGTTTGGTACAATATTGCGTCCACAGAACGACTTCGATTTCTAGGTTGGGCAATTTTCCTAAAAAGACAATCATGTGCATTAAACATTATACTCTATTAGATTTTTTTAGCTGGAGAAGTCTCTTATGTGGTATATCACATTATTATTATTATTACTATTACACTTAAACCCCTTAAAATAGTATTTGCCTGTAGTAGTATACCTGTAGGAGATCGCCTCAGATCGATAAACCCGCTAATTTGTATTGTTTACAAAGCTAAATTTTAATTCTCAAATGTAATGTCCTTCAGTGTATGTTACTTGTGTATGTCTGGGGGTTGAAGTTAAATATAAATTTAATAATTATTTTTGCACCCCCAAGTTTCAAGGGTCCAACTGGCATAGTCAGAGTTCTGGCATAGAGAGTAAAAGTCGTCGAAATAATCGAAACAGGAAGAGAACTAAATTTATAATTTGCCTTTCCTTGAATTCAAAGACGCACCTTTTTCTTCTCTCTGTGATAGCAGAAAAACGATTTAACACTAGTCAACAGTTTAATTTCAAAATATCTCCAATATGTTTACAGAGAGCTGCAAATGTTCATGTTTCTGATGGCGGCCTTAATGCACGACCTGGATCATCGTGGGTGTACCACGAGTTATCAACTTTTTGGACGTAAGTTATTTTGTATGTTAATTCTGTAAATTAAGGTCTGTACCTCTGAATTTGCAGGTGTACTTAGTCTTTATTTTATACAACTTGGCATTTTCAAAATTATGCTAAAACGCCATCTAGCGTAGACAAGGTGAACTACATGGATATCGAATCAGTGACTACTGATTCTGCATCACGCAACAGAAGTTTACACGCCGATTGGTACCTATATAATGTTATGTCGTAGTTCAATTTTAAAGCATTAACCTTTAACAAGTAGTTCAGCTGGAAAGACAACCTAATCTGCCTGAAGATCCTCCATTTACATTGGAAAGACAGAACCTCTCGCTTCTCCATTAAGAATTATAGAACATCGCAACGCAACTTAAAGGCTACTTTGATAGTAAAGATTTAACTGCCCTCTTCTTCCTTTAACCGCTCCCAATTGTTGCTTACCAGAAACGACCTTGGCTGCCTTATTCGCGTCGGAGGGTAGTGTGATAGAACGCCACCACCTTGCTATAGCACTCTGCATACTGAACACCGAGGGTTGTGACATACTTGAAAATCTATCTAGAAGGGATTACGACAGAGCTCTTATATATCTGCGGGATTTTATTGTTGCTACTGATGTCACTAATTTCGTTAAGTAAGTTTCTACAAAAAAGTTTGGCCGTTTGGTTTAAACCGCAGTATAGAAATCAAACAGGCGCAGACCACACTTCGTGTGGTTTTCGTAAGTTTCATTCAGACACTTCCCCCAAAACCCTAGTGGAGTGCCGGTTTCAATTGGTTTCCACTCAAACAAAAGTAGTTACATCTGAAGAAGATCTCTGTTTATGTTCGAATGTAGGTTTCTTTATCTTTATTGAAATCCATTTGAGCTCAAATTACCTTACTAACTTTTATAATATGTTGATATAAAAAAAAATAAAAGAAGATGAAATGTGGAATTCTGAATAAGTTAAATTACGAGAATTCTAAATTGTGTTTTTGACTTTTTCAATGGTCACGGGTGGCAATGGCTTGCTCGACTACGCCTGTCCGCAAAAACGAGTTGTTCGTCATACTAAAACAAAAAAGTTTTCTCGGAATTAATTCTTTAAAGTTGTTTTTTTTTTTAAATTTAAATATTACTTCTTCAGAACCTTGGATTTAATTAGATGACATTCTACGTTGCTATTAATTTATTCCAATATTTAATGCTATATGAGGTCACTTAAGTGGTAATTTGGAATTCCGAGCAGGATCATGCGGACAAGCCAATTTGTTTGTTTGTTTGTTTGTTTTTTAAAAAGACAACTCCCGCAGTAGGAATACATTCCTGTGTCGCGGGGGACTTTACAAACATATATGAAACGGACACAAAGAACACCCAGACTCAGAACAACAAATTGTGGATCACACAAAGTGTAGTTCCATGTGGGGTTTGAACCCACAACACTCGGCGCAGTAGGAAGCGGCGTGGCGACCGCTTAAACCACTACGCCATCCGTGCAGTCATCAGTCAATTTGTTTTCACAAAATTGATTCGTCATCATAAAAACCTTAGCTTGTCCTCTACTAGTCTATCTTTGGATAGATAGTAGGTAAGCTCTATTAGAAGATGCGTTCCTCTTTATAGACATTAACAATTTATCTTGTGGCACCCGACATACGTGTATACGTGTGTACTATGGGTATAAATGTATAAGAAAATGTATAAGAAAATGTATCAGAATTAAAAATACCGTGTCACACAAAGAACGTTCCTAATGTCACTAGTGTTATTCAAACCAGGTAATTAGAAGAAGGAATAGGTGTACAGTATAACCTGCAGTTTGATCAAATTAGAGTTGCCAGGTTAGAAAACAGAGATCATAAACATACAAATGACTTACAATTACAATCTTGAAGTAGGACGACGTACTACCGTTGCTCAAAACATTTTTCGTAAACATTCACCATCACCATTCAATTTAAAAAAAAAATTATACAGGAACATGGAAAACTACAGGACGATAGCTTCTGACTTTTTGGCAACTAGCATTGATCACATGAGTGCATTGAGCTGCCTGCTCATGCTTAGCGCTGACTTTAGCGACCAGCTCAAAGAATGGAGTAGCGTGAAGAAGACCGCTGTAAGTTTTTAACTACCTTTGGATTTCAAAGACGAATATTGATATTTTAATACACAAAAAAAACTATTTGTATAGACAGAAGACCGTTTACCGTGGGAGAGCCACGCTTCGGCACATATGAGCATTGTAGACTTATAAATTATTGCTACTCTTAAGTCATAATCATTGGTTGTAGTCACATCGATTTAACCTGTGATTGTGATTTGGTCATAGACAAAGATGAATGTCATCAAAATCAATCAAAATTCTTTTTTTTCGGTTTACGCTAGAATAATAATAATTAAGAACACTGGTTTTGTAAGTCAGTCACAGGTGTGATGTTATGACTTGTAAATCATATGATTTATATCAAGTGATTGTGATTTCACTCCATCCCTAGATACCACGGCCTCACGAAAAAACCGGTGTTTAGCTATTCTTTCGTTGTTTTTTACCGACTGAGTGAGATTACAGGATGTCCAACCCTCGTCCGGGATGGACAGCCTAATTTAGGCGGGAGGTAGGCACTAAGGGTGGCAATTCACGTTTGTTCTTGAGTTGCAGGTGAAGGTAGTCACTTACCATAAGGTGAGCCGGCTGCTCGTTTGCCCACCATTAGATTACGAACTAGAAAATATGTGGTGAAATCCCTCCTTTGTTTTTTTTTTATAAAAAGGGATTTTTATCCACAAGGAACGCGCCAGAATCTTTTGTGGGAAATACAATAAGTCCTTAGAGTTTTTTATAAATAATGTGGTTTATTTTACAGTAACTTAGGTAACTTACTTAGTAACTACATTAACTTATTTGAGTTGTTACTAGGGGTTGCTTAGGGGTGGTGAATTCGGGCACGCCGTCATTGCGGCGGTAAGACCCGTTATGGAGGATTGGCTCGAGAGGCGTCACGGGACCCTCTCATACCGACTGACGCAGGGGCTATCGTGCGGAGCGAGAGTGCGTGGTACTCTGCCGTCTCCTTCTGCGAGCAAGTTATGCTCGCGAAGGAGACGGCGGAGCAGGACCGGGAGAGGTTTAGGACTCTCCCGGCCCGCCAGGCCCGGGAACGGGCCAGGTACCGCAGGCGACTCAGGCGCCGGAGGTCGCAGAACGACCCTCCGTCCTCCATAAGCGCAAGCCTGGGGGTGGCAGGTGAGGCCATCTGTCACCCTAGCAGAAGCAGGCCGCGGTGGTGGCGAGCGCGTTGCGAAGCGCGCTCGCTTAGAGGGAGCAGAGGGAACATGGGGTTCTCACACGGAGGGGGGTCGTCTCCTTGTTGTAGAGGGCCCGAGGTATGTCGGGACACCAGGGACTTAGGGTATACCTGGTTCCCCGGCTATTAGTACCCGAGACGGCGTGCGGTTTTAGCCGGTTCGAGTCCGACATGCCACCGATAGGTGGTATCCGAGGGGATTTCCGCACGGAAAAAAAAGGGGTGGTGAATTGTAGTTATTAAACGTGACCGTGGGTATATGCCAAAATTACTACAATAATAATAATAAAGTCTCAGACATCTTACACACCTACTATAGTAAAAAGACTGCAAATAAAAATACTTATACAAAAACACTCGTATTATATAGATAACTAACACCCAGACACAGAACAAATGGTCACGCTCATCACACAATACTTGTACTGGGTGAGAATCGAACCCACTACATTTGTCTTAGCAGTCAGGACCTCTAGAACAGGGATTCCCAAACCATTTTAGGCAAGAGACCCCTTTTCTAAAATGAAATGATACCTCAGACCCCCATAGCCATATTACTGCACGCTTATCAACTTTTTGATATGTTAGACGGGGCAGACGAGCAGACGGGCCACCTGATGGAAAGTGACCATCGCCACCTATGAACTCAGGAGTCATAAACGCGTTGCTGGCCCTTTTAGGAAGTTGTACGCTCTGTTACACGTAACACAACTAATGCAGTATCTTGAAAGTTTCAAATAAGAACTTGTGTTAATTAATAGGGGTCGATTTTTAGACCTCGTTGACCCCCAAAATCAGTTTTCATTTATATCGACCCCTGGGAAAACGATTTCGCCCCGAAGGGGTCGATATGGACTACTTTGGGAATCCCTGCACTAGACCAACAGGCCTGTTAATTATATTATTTACTATTTATGTGGCGCTAAATAATTTGAACCGTAAAATGTTTCTGTGCATTTTCTTCACACAGGCGTCGGCGCTAACAGAGTTCTTCAAGCAAAGTGAAGCCGAAAAAAGCCGCGGGGAAGTCTCTGACTTCCAGATCGATAAAGACAGATTTTTCATACCTCAGCTGGAGATGCAGTTCCTCACTGATATCTGTATACCGCTGTTTGAGTTAGTTTAACTTCATTTGTCCGTGTAACGAATTAAGAATACGGAGTATCACCACCCCTATTTATCGCGTGGGTGTTGTAAGAGCCGACTAAGGGAGCAAACTAGGCAGGACAACAGTACTGCAAAGAGAAGGAAAACTTGGAACAAAGCGTCTGGCCAGCGTGGTATAGTAGACTAATACCTCCTTTCTAATGAGAGGTCTATATCCAGCAGTGGACTGCTGACTGTTGATGCTGAGTTTAATTTATAAGGTTATTGTAAACTCCAGAAATTCTCTGTAAGACAGTGACAATAGTGCTGGTTTGCAATGTCTTCTAGCCATGGGAGGACCATATAATTTTGGTATATATGGTTCGACTTGAACACCATACCATGGCTTCAGCAATTCTTTCTTTGATTTTCACCAAGTCAGTGAGGTTACGGAGTCCATTTGCCAATCCAACCCCCCCACCCCCGGTATTTCTGGGGAGGGAGCTAAAAGTGCGACAATGCTAGTGAATCGTAGGTGCCCATGTGCTGCGATAACCACTTACTATCAGGCGATCCCTCCGCTCATTAACCCCCCGGTTTTTTTTTTAATTTTCTTCCTTTTTACAGGTTACTAGGCATGATATTGCCGAGAATCCAAAATTATACTCAGATTCTGTACGAACACGTTGATAAGTGGGATAATGCAAGACCAGTGTTCGCCAAGGTAAGCACGATAGTCGACGATTCAATGTTTTATGCTATTTTATTTGTAATTAACACCCAAACGTTTATAATTACCATAGACTTTTAACTTTTAAATAAATATTTTTTCTAAGAATCATTGATATCCTATTAACTTTGTTGATATCTTACACATTTTATTACAATACCGCAAACCCTGTGGTGTAAAAACTATAAAACAATTAACTTAAAAAAAAACACATACTTTAATGCGTTTTTCCATGATAAACTGTAATACACTATACCCTCCCAAATAAAAAAAAAGGTTTTTCGAATAAGTTCATAAATGACAGGTCTATGGTAACATACATTAAAAAAAAATACAATCAAATTAAGAACTTCCATTTTAAGTCGATTTATGAATACGATTGTTATGATCTCGTGACATTAGATAAGTAGATAACACGGTGACCTTAACAGTTTCATATGATTGCAAAATACTTGGTATACTCAAGTTTTCGGCAGCTCATTTCTAAATAATCATATTATACAGATTCTTTTACCTCACTTTAAGTTGATCCAAGTCCAGACGTAAGTGTGATGATGGACTAAGAATACAGAGTGTCACCATCCATATTCATCACGTAGGTGTCGTAAGAGCCGACTAAGGGAGCAAACTACTCAGGAGAACAGTACTGAAAAAAGAAGGCAAACTGGAAACAAACCCTGTACCAACCTGTCTGGCCAGCGTGGTATAGTAGCCCTAAACCTCCTTTCTAAGGAGAGGCCCATGTCTAACAGTGGACTACTAAACGCTGTTTATGATGATGAAGTCTAGATTTCCTTTTCGCTTTTTTTATTTGTACTATAATTGGTGATAGGTACCTGCAACGGCTGGTCTTGCAGTGATCCTAAGTCCTGAACTCGACACTCTCATTGAACTTAATGTGAGAGAAAAAGAGTTAGAAAGAGAACGATTGGAACAAGAAAGGTTGGAAGCCGAAGCCGCCGCGGCAGAGGCGGCTGCCGCCCCACCTCCTAAGAAGAAGTAAATAATTATTTGAAGAGAAACCAAGTCCTAGGAGTTTTTTTTCTTTTCTAATAACTTATTATACCTACAGTATTGTAGCGTTTGCTACTCTAGATTTTTATTTAAAATAATATTGTTTCGTTTAAAATCGATCTTCCAACATTGTAACAACATCATTCATATTGTTAGAATGCGAAATGAATAACAATACCCATAAATGTATAATTTTAATTTGAAAGATATCTTTGAATCTGTAGTAAAATTGACCAAGTGAGACAACAGTTTGCAGAAGCTTGCTTGCACAAAAGTTAAACTCAGATATTTTTGGTTTGTTTTTGGTTGGTTGGTTTTTATTAGTAGGATACCAAGGTATCTACATTTTTTTTGTGGGCAACAGAAAGCGACGAAAATCACACAATACCTCTGACATATGCATAGCATAACGCGACGCGAGTTTAGTAATAACCGAGGACAGTGATAGACTGTCATTTTTAAACAGAGTTCGAATGAAGTTTGAGGCAAATGTTTTTATAGCAGATCACCGCTTCTACAGAAACCAGTGGTTTTTTTCTCTATCTTCTTGTAATCAGAAAGACACGCAGAAAGACAAGGCGATCCCTGCGTCACCAACCCCTTTTGACAGAGTATATTCATACTGGTATGGGGATCACTAGGAATACATAACATCCTAGGGAATAACGAGGGGTATTCATTGCGACTAGGTTTTCTCTACACACACGATGAGAAATCGTTTCAACTCGGTTCAACGTCAGTTCTTTCTCCGAGCACTTGTTGCTCAATGGTGGTAAGGGCAAAACAAATAATAAAATATTTATGCGGGCAACTTCATTCAAATCAATTTTAATGTTTGTATTCAATAAAACTTGAACATTTTGGTAACATTACAATTAAATTTTACAAGGGTAGGTATACTCTACTAGTGATTTTCAGAATGTCGTGGTATTGACATTTGATTCTTTTCATTATTAATTACTTTTGCCGATTTTGTTTATGGAACGATATTTAATCGATCATGTAGATTTCGCAAAATCGATTGCATTCGATATAACGATGTAGCTAGGCATCACTCTAACTTTTAATACAGGTACGTATCTATGTTTAAAAAACGCTTTGAAAATACAGACGATTATTTAAATAAATGTTCTCTTAATTTTTGTACCGTTGAAATATTTCGATGCATTTCAAAATCAGCTATTATTATGTCTGCTATCTATTCTTTTGTATTTATTTGTATAGTGATATATATATAATCATAGAAGTTTATCGATATCCCTCTTTAAAAGTATGAGGTTGTAACTCTATTAGGCTTTCCTTTAGAGCTCTACCATTGCCCAATTCTGACGCTAGAGGGATTTAAGGCATATATGGTATATTGTTTTGAATTTAATATTATTGTATAATTTGGAATATTAATAATTATTATCCTATTATGATGGTATTTAATGATAATTTAAAAAATGTATTAGATTATTTTTAAATTGAATTAAATTAAAAGAAATTGAATAAATAGTTTTATTGTCGTTTTAGTAAATATAATTTTAAACTGTTATCGGCATGGACATATAGTAACCCCCAGGAATAACTACATTCTTACATATATATACATTCTTTGGTACCGTATCGTGGTAGACTTAAAGCCGACCCCAACTTAGTTTGGAAAAAAGGCACGGAGGAAGATTTTCTTTTGACATAAGGTGACAGGGTTGCCAGCAGGTTATTTTTATGGAAAAGGGAGCAAACGAGCAGACGGGTCACCTGATGGAAAGTACTACTGCCGCCCATGAACGTCTGCAACTCAGACGTCACAAGCGCGTTGCCGGCCTTTGAGCAAGGAGTATGATCTTTTGTTGATTCTTAAGGTCGTATCGGTCCGAACAAACCGCAGACGTTAACTTGTTAAACAGATTGGTTGTGCAAGTCAAAATTGTCTTGAAAGTGTGCCATGTGCCAATTATCCAAGTGATGGGGATGAGAATTTTGCGTGAGGAACGATGGCGGAAAGTTGCAACTGGTATTAGTCGTCGGAACACTCCCGTGTAATACGATAGAGAGAGTGCAGAGTGAAGCTATAGCGTTACGTAACGCCAAGTAGTCGAGGCGACGATTCGAATAGCTCTTCGTTCGGGAAACCTTATTCTTTTGAGAAACTAGTAATGTATAATGCAGATGTTCTTTAAATAATATAGGTTAAATGTGTAGAGCTGTTTAAGTGAAGGTTAATTTCAAGAGCAGTGGTGATTTGTTTTGAAAGTGGGAGGAATAAAACGCAAGATTTATTAATATAAATTTATGTATATTAATATTTATTTAATACATAGAAATGTTGCCATATCATTAGCATACGAGTAAGACACATAATTAAGTAGGTATATATGTTTTCCTTTCTAAGGAGAGGCCTATGTCCAGCAGTGGACTAGTAAAGGCTGCCGATGACGATGATGTTTTTCTTAATGGCTTAAATTTAAAAAAATAACAAATATTTTTATAATAAATAACTTTGTATTCCAACAATTATTTGCAATGGTGTATCATTATATAACCGTAAAAAAAGTGAATTTTAAGTTTGCAGGTTCATATGTGTGTGTATATGTCTCTTTATTCAACTATAACTTATAAATACATTGTGGAATTTTTATTTCATCATACAGATTGAAAACTTCTCTGTTCTAAAATTCAATATGGCAGCGTTATGGCGCGTAATTTGTATTTTTTGGCAACACATTTTTTTAATATTCTTAAATAGGTAATATGATAATATTAATAGATTAAAAAAATATGTAATATTGATGTTTTTAATTGCACTGTAACTTGCTATAGTGTAGCAAGGCCAACTCAATAGAGATTATAATATTTAGGTTTAAGTATGAAACGGCTATTACATTAGGTACTGACTACACACATAGGTTGATATGTTCACAAAAATATTTTTGTGTGTTAAAAAAAACACAGATTATTTTTTACAAAATCACATAACTGGGTTTGGGTTAACATAGTTTGTTTCTTTGGTGTTGATTTCTACACTAGTTACTTTTGAGCTTTAAAATGTTGTACAATTTGAACATATTTTTATAAATTAATAAAAAAAGTGTTGAGAATACATTTCTAAAACTGGCGTGTTATTATATAACACACTGGTAATTTGTGTGGCGGGACATGGCAACACCCGACGCCGTCAACGTAGTCAAATGAAAACCCCGCGCTTTTTGGACGTCATTATGATTTCTCAAAGCGTCAGAGTAACGAGCTCACGCAATGTAAGTGAGAGCTGAGTGATAAAAGTTACTGGATTCAATACCCCCCCCCCCCCTCCCATCCATCAATTCTGAAGGAGAGAGGGCACTTGTATCTCTTGATTTTCAGGTGCAAACAACAGAACGCTATTATTAACCTAATGGTTTAAGGTTATACCTTAAAAGAATAAAAGGATACTTAATATTACTTACGGAATACGTAAACGGAATTAAACTTAGTTTTTAGTAAGTCGGTAACATTAGTATTATTGATTGGTAACATTAAAAAATATAAATTTGCCATTAATTGATGTAAGATCTATAGAATAAAATTATTTGTGGAAAGGAATGGAAATTTTCGTCAAATGTAAACGTACAAAAGTATAATTAGAATAATGTTTAAATTTACTAAAATAACAAATAACAATTGTTCAAATATGGCTATGGTGTGGATGTGACAATAGCTCATTAAAAGATTTTAAATGTTCAAACGTAGACTGGTTGTATCGTACATACAATAAATACGCATTTACAAAAATAAATACAGAATTTACAGTACAAGCCCTGCTTAGTCCGGGCTTCTAAATAGCGTTGTGTCATATGAAGCCATATTTTTTTTTTAAGCCAACTTCCGCACTTGGAGTATATCCTGTGTCGCGGGCGACTTTACAAACGTACATGAAACGGACACAAAGAACACCTAGACTCGGTACAACAATTTGTGGATATCACAGTGTTGTCCCATGTGGGGATCGAACCCACAACACTCACGGTAGTCACTTACCATCTACTGTACTTCTACAATTTTTCTTATAATACCTGTATTATAAGAAAGATGTAGTGTCTTCGAAATTTGAACTTTGACATAAAGTATTATCCTTTTCTTTTATAATTTAATGAGATATTGTCACAACATATTTTTTATGTTTAGGTATACAATACAGAACACTTCTGAAGCATTCCCACACTTAAACATATTCTGATATATTGGTTTTATACCCAAACATTAAACTCAATATATTTTCTTAGTGGTAACACTTTCAACTTATTGTTACGGTCTATTTTTTCGACCTTACGTGTATTACAATAAGCATCAAAATAAAGTAAAATTCTAATCATTCTGAGCTTTCAAACCGTTCGCTCCAGGTTGTAGCAGTTCTTCTATAAATTCTTTCATCATTTCTTTTAATTTGATATTTGTTTCTTCTTGTTCCCTGTAACAAAAAAGAAAACATCTCAGTCTTCGGATTTTTAAGCAAGAGTCAGTTGAGGTAAAGGTATGGGACCCAGCTCTCTTTTATCTTTCATTATTAACTCTCTATTTTACAATCTAATACCAAGAGATCCTAAACTGAATTCAACTCTTTTCTTTAACTCTTTTTTTTTTTAAGACAACTCCCGCACTAGGAATATAGCCTGCCTCGCGGGCGACTTTACAAACATTGGTCAAACGAACACAAAGAACACTAAGACTCAGAACAACAATTCGTGAACCATACAAAGTGTTGTCCCATGTGGGAATCGAACCACAACAATCAGCGCAGTAGGAAGTGGCAAGGTGACCGCTACGCCATCCGTGCAGTCAGTCAAATTAAACACAAGTTTAATCTTATCATGGGTACTAGAGTTTAAACTACTTACTTCCAGATTATTTATTGTTAAGTTGAATTTCGTTGTAATTTGGTTTTTATAAATAAAATTACATAAAGACTGCTTGAATTACCCGATATTAAACAATCTATGATATAATAAATAAAATATATCATGGTGAGTACATACCTTCGAGTAGGTGCTTCACATACCAGTTCCGAGTAATACTTAAGCTTGGGTTCGGTGCCGCTCGTCCTGATGGTGACGCTCAGCCCGTTGTGGCACTTGAACATCACCATTTCGCCTGACGTGTAGTCGGAGTCCAAACCGGTGCCCAGGACATCTACACAAAGTTTTTATGTTAAATTCAATATTCGAACTACCTGCCTGATTTCTACGGTTGTTGGACTTTAAACCAAATTCGCGAGAAAATTTTTTGGGTGTTAGGAGAGAAATGGCCAGAAACTGATCAATACATACAACACACATACAATGATACATACAAATGTTGCAAGTTACATAAAAGCTTGTAAAAAGATAAAATGACAATTGCTGATGCCCGTACACAAAAGACCGCGAAAGTGTGACGTCACAATATGGCGCCGATCTGGATTTGGGTAAAAGTAAACCAAAATTAGTTAGCTAATAACGAAATTACTTAGTCTAATATACTTATTTTTTTATTCAAAATGTCCACTTTCGATCCGAGTGCCTTATTAATCTTCTGTGTAACTATAATAAAACATTTTTTACAAACATTCTAATATTGAGGTTAGGGCATCTGAAAATATTAAAGGGCAAAAATTTTACCATTTTCTAAATATTTTTGTATCGACACGCAAAATGGACATGATCCACCAGGACCAAAATCCTGGTCGCCGCCATCTTGTGGCGATACGAAAACTACAATATTAATAGACTACAAGAGAAATCCACAAAAGAGGTAACGTCAGGCAAGAAGCGAAGACAACAATATCATAATGTCGTGACGCTGCTAATTTACAAAATCTTCCTCTAGTCACTTTTAATTGAATTTACTTTAAATTTTGTGCAGAGCCAATTAAAAGTTCCTTGGGAAAGTTGATAACGAAATTTTGATACTGGATAAGTCCTCGGATTTTATGAAGTTTTCTTCAGAATTGTGGTGACAGATGATGAACAAAATATATCAAAAGTGGTAGAAGCTCAGGCAACGAACGGTGAGTCTGGTTATACTCCTATTTTTAACCGACTTCAAAGCGGTTTTCAATTCAACTAGTTTCTTGTGTATATTATGCGATATCTTATCTTCGCCATTTGTGAACCAATTTTTTTATTGAATTGTTTATGTTCAAATGAAACCCTTATTGCAATTTAAAGAAAATATTCCTAGATAGGCGGGATGTCAATTCCTACTTACAGTAAATAAATATAATATTGTACTTACTTAAATGATTGGCTTCTCCATTCACATTTTCTGGTATTTTAACTCCGGCGGTGAAGTCGTTGATGTATACCACTTCGCAAGAACCCACTTTTTTTGGATACTGGAATATAAAAAAAAACTTTTATTTAAACTCTAGCCATCTTATGCTCAAAGTTTCGCTCGCACAAAAGTACATTTTCTATTCCTTGCAAAGGTTTTGTATTTTTTTTTAATTTAAAAAGGTATTCTGTATTTTGTTGTATAGAGTGGCAATAAGCAAGAAATCATGATGAACGAACGAAGAATATGGTTGTACATAAAATACTAAGAAACCAAGATTAATTGACTGTCCTGCTGGTCCACTGGTTGGTAATTCTGACTGCTAAACTAAGATCGTGGTTTCGATTCTCAACCAGGACAAATAATTATTTGACGAGCATGTTCATTTGGGTATGTTTCTGGGTGTAATTTATCTATAATATGTAGGTATTTAAAAATAACTTAATAATAAATAATAATAAAAATAATAAGCTATGTTTATCAGTAGTTAGTACGGGTTCTACCTCGTTGGGGATCAGATGGCCCTGTATAAGATGCGCCAATTTATTTATTATTATTTTAGATCTAAAATAAGGCCAAATTTTAACATGCATGCATAATAAATCGTTGGAATTGCCGGGTTGAAAACTTTTTAAATCTAAATCGTTACTAAAATAGTACGGAATCAATCAATGTAGTGAGAAACAATAATAGTATTAAGTGGGTAAATCCTATTCAAATCAATATTTATGGGAAAGATAACCCCGAAGTAATAGGCCGCTTCGTTCTATGATAAAAGGGGAACGACCTTGACCCCAAAATGTCATAGTTACAGTGTCGTAAAAACAAGCTAGAAAGGCGGACTGAATTGAAAAAGTACACAAGCTAATTATTTAAAAAAAAAACTCGAATGTATACTTAAAATTTACAAACCAGCGATTTTAATTTTTATTATTTTCATATACCTAGTGTCACTATCACAACTAAGGCGTATTTAACTACAACTCAAACGCCCGCCAAAATCCAGTGTGTGCCAAAGAAGAAATAAATCTAAACACACAACGCCATCTAGTTTCAAACTAAGCAGAGCTTGTATAATAAAAGCTAGATTGACTGAAAGAATACATTTAATACATAGAAGATACTTAAACTCCGAAACGAATATTAGCAGATCATACAAAAACATTTGGTCCGACCCAGGCAGCGAACCCGAGAGAGTGGAGAGCACAGCAGTCGCATACGCTACCACCGCACCATAGAGGTAGTCAAAATAAATAAAAAAATAGAAATAAGAAGATATATAAATATATACAGTCGGTAACCTAACCATTCTAAAAGGGTAAAAAGAGATCAAGTGCGTGTCGGGCCACGTGCATTTTAGTTTATTGTACAATTTTTAAACAAGTAATAATGACTCCACAGTTAAAGTATTTAGCTTTTGGAACTATAGTCAGAGCAGTTCCAAGATGCTAAATTGTAGTATAGCCATCACTACATATACACGCATAGATTGATTTTACTTCACATCACATCGACATATTTAATAGTCCACTGCTGGATATAGGCGTTTCCTTAGATAGAAGGTTTTGGGATTGATTTACAAGTAGGTTAAAATTGTCTACTTGAAGATCTGTTTCTATTGTTAGTAAGAAGAAAGTTAGTAGTAAGAAGTAGAAGTTAGGCTAATAAAAGAGTTTAAATAAATGGCCTGCTTGGTCAAAATAACATATACTCGGGCGGAGCTTTAGAAAAATAGATGTGTGTGTGCAATTCACACACAGCAGAAGTGAAACTTAAGATTTTTTATATCAGAAAAACCGTATAAAATGTTACCCGGCCCGAAATCGAACCCACTAAGGTAGCGTTTTCAAATTCTAAGCGAACGAAGTCGCGGGTACAAGCTAGTATTAAACAAAAAGATAAAATATTCACATTGTCAAAATATGATATTAAAAATAATGTGTAATGTATTCTATCTCATTCTCTCGCCGACTTGATCCAATACATTTATGTGTTTGATTTTTTATCGTGATCACAACGATTCAAAGGAGGTTTAACTTCAAAAAATCTTAAAATAATCAAAGAAAAAAACTGAAGCGCCATTTAAAATGAGTTTTAATAGATAAGAAACTCCACGAAGCTTTTTATCTGAATATTAAATGTTCTTTTTACACAATGTTATGATAAAGTAATTCAAAAACAAAGTCGAACTACTTTGTGATGTAAATAAAACAATACAGACGCAATAAAGTTGAAGCAAAACAGTAATCGAAATCAGATTGTTGTATGATCTTTATCTTCCAGTCAGTAGATACACAAACAGCGATAAGTAGAAAAGAATACAGTAATGCTATTACAATATTCTTTTTTCTTATCATTGTATGTTCCCTTAGAGATGAGATGCAGTACCTTCACACCAGTCAAAAGCCGATGATCTCAAAGAATAAATCTGAAAGTTGAAAGCCGCTGGACTGCGAAAGCCGTTGGCGTAGGCCAGCGCGTTATCCTTGCTTCTTTAACTTTTGAATACAATACAATCAAAAGTGGAAGAAGCACGGGTAACAAACTGGGCATGGTACGATTTATCTTCAATCTCCTTGCGCTAAAAATATGGTTCAAAATGGCGAAATTTCGATGACACAAGAATACCCACAATAGATCTCATGCAACGAACGAATGACAAACATTTTTAATGTTAATTACATAAGTAATGAGGGTAATATGCATGCAAGTTATAAACTTTATATATTTAATAATAGATATAAATGTAAACATGAATAATAATATTTATTAATATTAAAAACAGTAGCAGATAAATGGCGTGTTGATGACAGTTCTACGCAATACAAAACCCCGAGCTTATCAATATCATGTCAAAGAAAAACTCGGGTTTGTATCGTGCAGAACACAGATCATTATATTGATTTAATATATACCTATATATACATATACACATACACTTGCATATATAATTAAAATACAATAGTTATAAACACTTAGATAAGGTATGTGAGCAAAGTGACATTTACCTGGCGAACTCAGATATAGTTTAACATATATATATTTATAATTATGTGATAAAATATCAGTACTGTATATGAATTTAATCAAATATGTATTTGTAAAATATACAAAATTATATAAATTCTTTTATTTGCTTTTTGACAGTGCATAATATCCAAATATCTTATCTTATAAATCTTTCTTTCTTCAAATATCTTATCTTATAAATCTTATCTGTATCCTAATAATATCTAAACACGTTATAAACCAAACATTAAGTTTCGAATATAAGTTGTAATCGATTTTATTTAAGTGGAATTTTAAACCGACTTGTGAAAAACAAAAAGTTAAGTTACCTAAAATGCTAAATTGTTTGTTAGTTACGTTCTCTTGCAACTGTCAAAAAGAATACAAATGAATTATTACAATATAGTCATTCGCATCAGGTCCAAATATAAATGATCCAAGACTTATATTTACTAAAATAAAAATAAAACAAAAGCTTACCTGTCCAGGGCCGTCATAGTTCCTGATGCGCCTAAATATTTTCTGTATAATAGCTTGTTCATGACAGATATAGTAACTATTGTATGTTACATGGTATCCATATTTTGCGTAAAGAGTGTGCAACTGCTTGAGAATGGAAGAGCCTTGGCAGTGAAGGTGTGATGCTAACGAGGCTACCTACAAAGAACACCAAACTATTACCATATGTGTAATAAATACTAATAGTGGGTCAACTTCCTTGATAGACCGCTAAATTCCTGAAAGACTGTCTCGACTAAAAATGTGCAAGGGTTGTCACAAAAAGGATCACGATCGTAGGTATAAAAGTACTTGGCTTAATTTATCTATATAGCAGTAGTATCTCGGGTCCTATTCTATTTTAAATATTGGATAAAATACATTGGTGAATATTTTTTTTCGTTGCTTTTGTTTCGTGATTTCAGTTGGAGAAAATATTGGGAAAAGATTTTGGTAAAATTAAATTCTTACAACCATGTGATTGCTGCAGCTTTCCATCACGATTTAATGTAATTATAGGTAAATAAATATAGTCATATGGAATGTAATAAATAATATTTATAAAAGTATGTATTTTTATATAATTAAAACAGTAATATAAGTATTTTTGTGATTATATGTAAATGTATATTAAACCGCCAAATACATCGAGAGTTTTAATATACGCTCTTTATCTTATATTATGTTAATAAAGTAAAGAGATGTTATTGGTACTGTGAGTTAATAAAAATAATAAAAAATTTGCGAGTAATCTTGTGTTGCCCTAAAAACGTGACACTACTGAACGGGCGTACCGGTTGGCAAGCCAAGCCGGCCGGTACTACCGCAGACCTCGCGGGCAGTCGTAGTAGTTTAAGCGGTCGCCACGCCACTCACTACTACGATGAGTGTTGTGGGTCCGATCCCCACATGGGACGACACTTTGTGTGATCCACAAATTGTTGTTCTGAGTCTGGGTGTTCTTTGTGTCTATTTCATGTATGTTTGTAAAGTCCCCCGCGACACAGGATTTATTTTGTTTTTGTATTTGTGCGAGTTGTCTTAAAAAAAAGAAACTATCGAAGACGATCCGAACTTTTTAGCGGTGCCGAGGGAACTCCCCTCTCCTTCATACCTCGCCCCCGCGTTGATTCTCTAAGTAGCTGAGTTGACTCACTATTAGTATTGCAAATATGCTATTACTAAATCGGTTTAGGATGTGAGGTAAATGGTTTATTGTCTCTCCAACACAAACGGATGGTCCCTTAACCAGCCTAGATGATGCTTGACGCACCAGGTCCTGGCCAAACGCTTGATGCTGCTAGGATGTATAGATGTTTAGTAATCACCATGAGAACGTCAATTGCGATATGTAGGATCAGTGGTAATAAGAAGTTCGGACCGTCTTCGATAAATGACGCCTAATTATGTTTTGTTTTATGTGGATATGGTAATAAGATGTTTTATTAAATCTTATTAATGTCCGAAGTGTAAGGTGTGCAAGACAAACCCTTCAACAAAGTACTAGCAAAGATGTGTCTTATTTTATTGTTAAATGTAAAACGTTTAAATAGCAATAATAATTATTACACATATACATACCATAGTCTCATAAAGGGGCAATCTATACAAATAAATAAAATTGGAGTGTCTGTTTGTAATATTAAAATACCCGCTTTTTAATAAATGCATATGTATGTGTGCACGGTACATATGCCAAAATATCATTTTTACAATTTGTGTCTGTCTGTCTGTTTGTTCCTGGTAATCTCTGAAACGGCTGTACCGATTTCGACGGGACTTTCACTGGCAGATAGCTGATGACATAAGGAGTAACTTAAGCTACTTTTTTAAGACTAGCTTCGCCCCGCGGCGTTGCCCGCGGTTATAACAACAAACGCGGGTAACACCGCGGGTCTCAGCTAGTAAATTATAGTATTTATGGATTAAACTAGGACATTTAAGAAGAAGCGGAGCGCTCGTTACGGAGTGGAGTCGGGGCCAGTAGTTGGTTTGTTTTTTCATCTGATTTAATCTTACCTGTACGGCAGCTGACACTCCATCCTTTTCTGGTACTCTGTGATCGCACATATAGCCGATGGCTTCTTCAAATGCAAACAGCGGTACTTTACCTTCTTGTGCTAATAAAAGAGTTGTGTTGCCTGGAATAAATTGTTAATGTTTAAAAATATCTAAAATCAAAATATAAAAATAAATATTTAAAGAAGTTAAGGAGGAGTGAAGGTTCTGGCTTATAGCCAAGCAATTAAACTTTACTTGTGCGAATGTAGAAGAAGGGAGAGGGGAAGTGGAAAGAGCTCTGGTAACAAGAGCCTACTCCATTTATGGAGTCACTGGATTGGTCACACATCTATAGTATTAGGTCGGAGGGCCAAGTGCGAGCTAATTTCACATTAACTCGGTCTGTACAGAAATCGATCTCGGTCTCGGTCTGAAATCTTCGCCGAACGCACTCGGCGTTCGGCGAAGATTTCAGTGCGGGCCAATCACAGTCACAGTGACGATTGAGATGATGTGACATAAACTTGCACTTGGGCCTCTGCAGTGTAGTCGTAAATGTGGTTCAACTCACCCATCCATTTAAATCCTGTGAGCGTTTCCACAAATTCTCCTTTACCCTTAATAATGGCTCTCAGCATCTTTGAGCTGACGATGCTTGCCATGATGTATACTTCGTCATCTCCCGCGTTCTTCTTGTAATATTGCTGCAACAGCCACCAGCCCAGTAGAGCTCCCATCTCGTTACCCGTGAAGATATGCCAGCTCTTGGTACTAAAAATTACGAAAATGTAAAAGTGTTATTAGAAGAACTCAACTCCAGAACGTCAGTTTAAAGAGTTTAGCGAAATAACAAAACTGCAGAACGAGGCAATGAGACAAATCTGCATTAAAAAATGGTAACTCCTATTGCAGTAGAAGAGTCGAAGAGTGAACATAATAGATTTTGAAATAGAGTGCAAGAAAGGTAAGCCGAAAATACCGAAGAAGACACCTTGAATAAACAGGATGCGGAAGGAAGAAGACCAGAAGCTATTACGGGAAATTATTGAGGGGCTGATATTCAATGAATATTGAGACTAGCCCGTTGGTCTAGTTTTTAGCCACCTTGACCTGATAAGCCATAGGTCATGGGTTCGATTCTCACCCAGAACAAATGATTGTGTGATGAGCACGATTATTTGTTCTGTGTTTAGAAATATATAAGTATGTTTATCAGCAGTTTGGTTACCATGGCACAGGCCTAGCACTCCCTAGTTTGGTATCAGACGGCGGTTTGCCAGATGTGGGAGGTTATTATTTTCTATAAAATCATTTTCACATCAACCACTGTTACTTAAAATTCCCCACGTTCTTCTGAATGTTCCTGCTCAAGACATTACCTGTCATCGTATTCAGCTACCGCCAGTCTATCCGCATCAGGATCATTGACCAGCACAAGTTTAGCTCCTCGTTCTTCTGCCAAACTCTTGCTTAACTCCAGACATTGCAACTCCTCTGGGTTTGGGAATACCACCGTTGAAAATTCTGGATCCGGATCTTGTTGTTCTTTTACACTAATTGGGGGCTGTGGGAGAATATTATAGTGTTAATTTTAATTAGCACTTTAAATGAGCAGTTTTTTTTTTTTGGATGTAAAATAATTGTTTAAAAATCTCAGAAATAGTTATCTGATTGGCGCCTCAACAATTTACAAAATGAGTCTTAACATCTTTTGCATAGACATCAATGTCGTGTAACGTAAAAAAATAATAAAAACACAAGACAGTTTTAAATTCACTTTATGATTTGTTACTTGAGCTAACCATTATTATTATTATACTATGTAAAGAGTATTCATTATGTCGGCAGAAAATATGAACAATAGGCTATAAATAAATTAACAAAATTATATTTAATTACATAATATACGACATAGGTATCTAAAAAATCCAAATCTAAAAGCAAAGATTTAGTCATATATAGAGATTGGATGAGTTTTAATTGCTAAAACAAAGATTGAAAACAATAACATTATCAGTACAAATACTAAATATTTATAAATAAATTACATACATTCTTAATAGTTCGTTAGCCACCTTAGCCTTGCATTGTTTGTGATAAAAATACTAATTTATTAAAATGATAAGACAAGATATATTTTTGCATGACAGATACAGGTTTTTGCCTAAAACACATCTAAGATATGCCATTTAGATTTGAACCTCTTTTAAAACTGATTAATCACAAATATTAAGAAATTCAGAGGTTAGAAAGGTGAGGAAGTGCTGGCAACTACCAGTGAGACTTACAAGAGTGACAATGACCTATCGAGCTATTGCCCTACACTTCAGCAACCAGATCACTATGAGAAAAATTACCTTAAGATTGGCAGTCTCAAAAGCTTTCAGGATATATTCATAGCCGACTCCATGCATAGCGCTGTATACTACGTCAATTGCAGCTGTCTTGTTCTCCTGCAGGACTTCAGGGCTTAGGCTGATAATAGTCTCCATGTACTTAGAGGTAACTTCGTCCTGACAGTCCTTCACCAATTCATGAGCCCGAATCTCGGAGATGTTCCAATGATCGTCAGGGATGCTAGAAATAAATTTGTACGATTTTTTTCATAATTCTACGAGTGACACGAAAGATTTGATGAGTAAAGTTGTTTTGAAGTATTTTTAGCGTGGGATATTTGCATAATATATTGTAGCTTCATAAAAGTTAGAAGCTGGACAAAAAACTTAGGCAAATTCCTAATATTATGAATATTAGGAATTTAAGATAAAATATTATAAAATTTACTATAGTCCTGTGAACCTGAAAAAATATCAATAAAGTTAAAATGTTGAAAAGAGATACGAGCCCATCTAAGAATTTTTTAGGGGTATTCCAGTAGGTAATTATTTTTATTTAAGTAAAAGTGGAGTCATGTTTTAGGATTTAGTACGTTTTGTTTGGCTTTTGCTCCCGGTAGATCCATCAGGCTAGCTTTCTATCAGGTACTGGGTTAAAAATAGATGTGGAGAAATCTGGTGGAAAATAATATGAGTGTGTAAATGTCGGCCATCGAGACTGTTGCTACTGCCATGGTGAGGAATAAGGCAAGAATGGAGAAAGTAACTGTGATGGTATGAACACGATGACACGAATTTATAATGTCCTTGTGAGTGAGCGAGTGAGTGTGGGTAAGTTTTGAATGACTTACACTGACCAGATCGTATGACTGTAACCGGCGAGTGGGTATGAAAGGTCCAACGAATATGAAAAAGTAGATCGTGTCAAATGAGGTTTTATGAAATCAAGATACGAATCAACAGCTTGAGTGTAGAAATACGCTAATACAAAACAAAAAAAAAACACTTACTCTAAACACTGTTCAATTTCCTCCAATATATTATCATCATGAGGTGTGAGGATCTGACACCCATTGCCCCAATACACTTTGTAGCCATTGTCTTCCCTTGGGTTATGGGACGCTGTGATCATGACTCCCGCTGCCGCCCCGTAGAAGATGGTCCCAAAGGAGACGAGGGGTGTTGCACATACTTCTGAGAATATGTGAACCGGTATCGAAGATGATATGAAAACTTTGGCTGTAAGTTCTGCGAACCTGTTGACAAACAAAATATAGTTGAGTTAGTACTATAAGTAATTGGGCCTCAGTAACTTCACTCACTCGATTAAAAGCTACTCTCTTTTGAGCACTCTCTTCTGTACTCCGGTCAAGCCGTGGCCAGCTATCAGGATACAAAGACCAAAGACCCAAGAACCAAAGCATAAACTTTCACATTTTAAGATAAAAGGTAATAATAAAAATCATTTGGAAAAAGTTGACTTCAAACAATACTAACAAAGAGCACTCAAAACCTAGCAGCACACCAATTTTTTCCTTTATCGGCGTAATATTATGTGCTAGTTGTAGGTGGTTGTTACAATAAGCAGAATAAGTACTTAAGTTACGACTGTAAACAAACTAAAAATTATTAAATACGTTGATGGTTATAATAGCGATTAGATAATAATAATAACTATTAAAACATTTTCATTTCTTTTTAATATTGTGGGTATACTGTGTATTTTTTATAGCGCGATTAAAACTATTGCTTGGCCCAGATGGGTGCGCACAGTACCCTGAAACGAACACAAAAAATATTCCTTTCTTTTGTTGATCTTATATTCTTGTTTAGTAGGCCAAAACCTCATTTCTAAGGAAAGGCCTATGTCCAGCAGTGGACTATTAAAGGCTGTTGATGTGATGTGATGTCATATTCTTGTTTTAAGAGCTGTCTTTTATATTCCTAACTCTTGTATTTTATGCGTAGTGAGCTATTATTTTCTAAAATGAGCGCATTTGACTTTAATGACATCAATAAAGAAACAATTGCCTCAGTCAGTCTCTTCATGTTATAAAAAGCAATATTTGTTAGTTTCCATTTTAGATCGTTCAGTAATCGGACGAAATTTTGAAAGCATCTTGTCAGCTTGCCAGGGATACAAAGTTGGACAGTGAGGAGTTTTTTTATTGCTGCAAGGTCCAGGGTAAAAAATATACCTAAGGAAGGGATAAGAAGATAACAGATGGAATGTAATGGATGCGGATGCTCTCATTATGATATAAAGGAGAATCCGCTCACTCATGAGACGAATCTACTTCACTGCTGGTTTATTTTACCCCTCAATATAAAAAAAGGGACATCTGTGTGGTGACGGATTAAGAATATGGAGTGTCAACACTCCCTTATTCAGCCCAAGGATGTCGTAAGAGCCGACTAAGGCAGCAAACTACGCAGGATGTTATCCTGCACCGAAAAAAGAAGAAAAACTTGACAAAACCCCTATACCCGTCTGGCATACCGGGTAACCAAAACCACCTTTCTAAGGAGAGGTCTATGTCCAACAGTGGACTACTAAAAGCTGTCGATGATTATGATGTAGTCAAACTTTATTAAACGTTCACAATCATAACATAAGTCGTAGATTGTTTTACACACCCAGTCATATAGGCCTCTATTTCTCAAGCGAAAGCCGTCATAAAAATAAGTTATAATAATATATTAAGAAATATGTATTACACTAAGTACAAGAAACATAATAAGTTAAAATAGGTGAGGTAAAACTAAGCATGTTAAAATGTGAAATGGGTCAGGTCAGGTTAGATCAGGCACAAGTTGGTCTGGGGTGCTGGGCTAGAAAACCTCCTCGTGGTGCACCCTGGAAACGCTGGCGATGGTACTGTTTCCTCCTTGTCCTCTTGGAGGAGAGGATTATCGCCAGCGGCCAATATTCTAGCAGAAGAGGCAGCCGTTCATCGGCTCTCGGGCAAGGCCTGGTCCAGCAGGGTGGGCGTGTCTGCCGGTTGCCCTGCTGGCTCTTCGCTCTTCGGAGCATGGAGGAGGAAACCTCGGTAAAAAACCTGATGGCGGGGCCCTGTAGGGGCCACAGTTTCTCCGCTGATAGCGGTGGAGAAAGGAGGACGGGCTCGGCGTGTACTCACACTACCACCGAGCAGGCAGGGGGACGTAGTCTCCCTGTCAACCGTCGGCATATCGCAATCCCGAGAAGAGCGCTGTGGTTAAGTCTCGCGGCTCTGTTCGGGGGCGAGGGTCTTGGCTTAACCGCCCGGACCGCGAGGAAGATAACCTCTCTAAAAAATTCCCCGAATCCCGTGTTCTGGTGCGTGGCCAGGGGATGCATGGCTGATGGGAAGTTCAGTCGCGAGCGCACTCCAAGCCGAGGTACCTGCGGACCCCTCGGTTGGGTTAAAAACTTACGCTTGCCCGGGTAATGGGGGATCTCTGCCCGGGTGGACCTCTAGTTCTCCCCCACTCGTGGGATTATTATGGATGATTTACAACAAATTAAAAAAACGATCGGAACCAACATACAAACGAAAAAGGCAAGCCTAAAGGACATGAAAGCAAAAGGAAGGAAGGACAAGCAGAACAGTGGAGCGGATGGGTCGTCCACTGAGGGCGAGATGGTGTCGGGAACGCCTATCTCGATGGGGCTCCCAGAGGTCAGTCTGACTCTGGTCACTGGGAGCCGAAGAGCATCGGATCGGCTGCGTTCCGGATCCGCCGCTTCATCGGATGGCGCGGAGGCCATGGAAGCGGAGCGGAGCGACAGCCGGAAACGCGGACGCTCCAGGGAGGAGGGGACCGACACGTCCGGCGAAATGATGCCACCAAAGGTGGCAAGCAGCCGCCGAGGGAGGGCGCGTAAACCGGCCTCGGCCTCGGTCTCGACCCCGTCAGGCTCCGCGTTCTCAAACGCGGAGTCCTACAGGAGCGTACGAGTGGACGGCGAGGCCGTAGCGGAGGAGGAGATCGCGGATCTCCTGCTCAAGGTTCGGGAGCCGGTGGGGGGAAATGCCCCCCAGGCTCCCGTGTCCGTGCAGGAGAGGGCGAAAGCGGCGGTGGCCGTCATCAACAAGGTGGCCACCAAATCCGTGAACCTTAAGGGCTCGTTTGTGAGGGCCCTTAAGGACTCCTCCTCCGCTTTGTCGGAGGTCGTGGAGGGCCTAGCGGGCGACGTCTCTCGCCTGCGGGTGGCCAACGAGAAGCTGACGGAGCGGGTGAACGAGCTGAGCGCTCAGTTCGCCCGCTTCCAGGCGAACCTCCCCGAGCGGGAAGCCCCGTCCGCGTCCCAGCCTGCCCCTACCACCAACTCAGGGGCATTTGACTCCCAACTGCGAGAAATCCTCATCGCAGTTGGGAATATGCTGGACGGACGCCTGGCTGGTCTGGAGGCGAGATTGCCTCCTGCGCCGATTATGCGCCCCCCGCTCGCGTCGGCACAGCGGCCTAAGGCCGCCGCTCCGACCGCGCTCCCCGTTGTGGGAGGCCGCGTTTCTTACGCGGCGGCGGCGTCTGCCCCTACTCCATCGGCTCCACAAAAGCCGAGGAGGGGGGCCAAGTCACCGGCCCAGGCGCCGGCCAAGGCACCGGCTAAGGCGCCGGCCAGGGCGCATCCCCAGGCGCCGGCCAAGACGGGGCCTAGAACAGCGCCGAGGAGCGGAGTGGCATTCCCTCCGCTCCCCACTCCGACACCCCTGCCGGGCCCCTCCGCACCTGCCCCCTCCAACGAGGGTTGGCAGGAGGCGAGGGGCTCCAAGAAGTCCCGAAGGCGGGCCAAAAAGGCTGCCAAAAAAGCAGCCCAAGCCCAGCCTTCGCCACCGGTGGCAACGGCCTCCACAAAGAGGCCGCGGAAGCTGCAGCCGCCCAAAACCGCGGCTGTAGTGGTGACCGTGTCCCCGGAGGCGGCGGACGGCGGGCTGTCCTACGCGGCCGTTTTCAAAAAGGCCCGGGACAGCCTCGCCAACGATTTTGGAACGGTGGGGGTCAGGATGCGCCTAGCCCAGACGGGAGCTCGAGTCCTCGAGTTCCCTGGGGCTGAAGGCGCAAAGACGGCGGACTCGTTTGCTGAGAGGCTGCGGGGTATATTCGCGACTACAGATGGTGTGAGGGTCGCCAGGCCTACCAAGTGCGCGGAGCTGCGCATCTCGGGCCTGGACGACTCTGTGACGGCCGAAGATGTCCGCGCTGTAATCCGGGAGAAGACGGGGTGCAGCGCGGACAACGTCAGGGTCGGCACCATCCGCCCCGGTCCAGGGGGGCTTGGCGCCGTGTGGGTCAGCTGTCCCGTAGCGTCGGCCAAAGTATTGGCCGACGCCGGCAGGCTGCTCATCGGTTTCGTGAGCGCCAGGATCACAGTCCTGGCGGCGAGACCGATGAGGTGTTACAAATGCCTAGCATCGGGGCACACGCGCGTCAAGTGCCAAAGCTGCTTTGACTGCAGCGGACTCTGTTTCCGCTGTGGTCGACCGGGGCATGTGGCGGTGGAATGCTCTGCCGCCCCTCACTGCCCGGTGTGTGCGGCGGGTAACAAGCCCGCCAATCACCAGATGGGGCAGGGGGGCTGCAAGCCTCCCCGCAACTCTCAGCAAGCATCGGGGGCTAGCCAGTCGACCCAGGCTGCCTCCGATGTAGTTCGTGCGTCGACGTCGTCGCCCATGGAGGAGGCTGTAGAGACGATCCAGTAATGGATCGGGTCTCCAGCCTCCTGGTCCAGACGAACCTGAACCACTGTGCCGCGGCGCAGGATCTCTTCCTGCAAACCATGGCACAGTGGTCGATAGGTGTTGCCGTAGTCGCGGAGCCCTATTCTGTCCCTCCCCGTCCAAACTGGATGGGTGACTGGGATGGCTCCGTGGCAGTCGTCGGTTCCACGACGGCTCATTCCCCGCCCTTGTCGCTAAGAGACAAGGGCACTGGATATGTTGCCGTCGAGTGGGGGGGGATCACCATATATGGTGTTTATTTCTCCCCCAACCGGAGTTTGAACGACTTCGAGGTTTTCCTAACCAGCTTGGAGACCTCGATACGGCGACTAGCGTCTGGGCACGTCCTTGTGCTGGGGGACTTCAACGCAAAGTCCATTGCGTGGGGTTCCCCCAGGACGGACGCAAGGGGCGAGGCCGTAGAGGAGTGGGCGGCCTCGGTGGGCCTCTGTCTTCTAAACAGAGGCTCCACCAACACGTGCGTGCGACAGCAGGGGGGGTCGATAGTGGACCTCTCGTTCGCTACCCCTGCCCTCGCCGCACGAGTAAGG